AAGACATACTTTATTAGTAACACTTCAACTGCAAAACAGGACTTTAACCTACTGACAAATTCAACAAATGATTACTTTCATTAATTAGTAACAAAGATTATTATTTGGTCTAAAATGTAGATGTGAGCTGGTACCTGCATTTTACAGGCAGTTATTAAAGATGCTTTATTTCCGTTCAGTACTTCTGTCCTTCTGGCATTCAACAAATCAGTTGTCCTAGTCCTAATTGTCTAGCAAACTATGTTTGACCAAAATCAGTTTTCTGATCCATCTGTCTTATTTGATATATCAGACAATAACAAGCAATAAAAGCTTTATGTTAACAACAACTTAACCCACTGATTATGCATTTGAAAATATATGGGAAGAAACATATTTAACTTTTTGTGTGTGTAATGCATGGGTGCTAGATCTTCACAGCCAATGCATAAGGGATACACACGCAGGTGGCAGCATTACAGAAACACTGCCTTAATCAATTCAGTGTTTATGTATGCGTCGTCTGGTGTCTGACATACAGCACACGGAAAAATGGCCCAAAATATCTGTGCACACAGTGAATAGTTTAAAAAAATGAATATGCAGACTTTTTAGTTGCCTTAGTATGTCTGCTGTTTTGTATGAGGATTTAATAAACCTTTGATTTATTAAAAGCAGACTGACAACTAGCTGGTGAAACAAAGTGAAGCATTCGGCAGCTAAAGAGCCAGCAGTTGGTAGAGACCAAGAAGAGAGTGAACATTTAACTTGACACAAACATGACTCCAAATGAAAGATAATGTTGCTCCATAACTGCTGGATCTGCTCCTTTTTTCTTTTTCTTTTTTTTTCTTTTTTTTTTTTAGCAAATAGATGGCGAGGCGTTCCTGCTGCTCACCCAAGCGGACATTGTCAAGATTCTGTCAATCAAGTTAGGACCCGCCCTGAAGATCTACAACTCTATCCTCATGCTGAAGAACGCAGACGAAGAGTAAGGATTCCCTGGCTCTCCTCAGCGGTGTCGAACTCTGCGACGCTACAGCTACACAAGAGAAACAAGTGGAAGCTGTCATCTCGAAAAACGTCCTATCTCCCTCCCCCTCCTCCTCTTCACTGAATGGACAACATTCATCAACCTGAGGGAGACTTTTACAAGATACCATGCAGATTCTTCAACTTATAACGTGTTTGTTTACCGAATCATATAAAACAAAAAAACTACCGGCACCTTCAATGCTTCTTCACATTGTACAGTTTATGGATTTAGTGTCATGGTTCTGTTGCATTTTCTGTTTTTGTTTCGTAACTGTAATGGTGCTTCAGCTCAGATTTGATGGAACAAGTGTCTTTGTGCTTTGTTGCTTTTTACTTGGCAAGAGTTTTGTTTTTTATTTAATTTTTTTTTAAGCTGCAAAATACAATCGAGAGGTGGTGAGAGGTTTTTAAAATGTGAAACCCAGTGGAGCAGAAGCACTATGTAGTTCAGCCTTCTTCCTCTAGATGGAGAAAGCGGGTCACTCCACAGGCCCAAAGGCAAGAGAGTTTGTTTAATTTGGAGTTGGCTGAGGCTTTGACTGAAGGGGGGGGGGTAAAAACTTTGTGTGTGTGTGTGTGCGCGCAAGTGTGACTAAGTGTGTTTGAGAAATGAGGATGTAATTTCCCACCAGCCCTTGTGTGTTGCTTCTCTGGTCAGATGATTTAGCAGGGCTAAGGGCTAAATGTTAAATCACAGAAACTCGCAGTCTTTTAAGGTGGAACGAGACAATGAAACAGCTCTGTTCTTCTCTATCTGCGATTTTTATGGGCAACGGCAAATGAATATGAATGTTAAAAAAAACAGCTTTTAGTTGTTTTGTTGATATTAATGATCTTGTTTGATTTAAAAACCTTTGTCAGTCATATTGTAAATAGTATACAGCTACAAATGGACTGTCCTTGCCCCTAACAGTTTACTCCTGCTTGGTTATGCAAAGGCTTGACTTCTGTCTACAGGGAAGGACAACATGACAGCGAAGTGAAAAATACGAGCCTCAATTCATACGTGGATCTTGAGAAGAAAAAAACAAACATTGTCAGTGTCTTTGTAAATCAGCGTGTACTTTTCAGCAAGTTGGAATGTGTACATCAGCAACTGTTTATATGCAAACAGCTTTTATTTATGTATTCTAATTTAAGGAGTAATGGTACGCTGTTCTGGCTCCGAGGTGGCTGTTTGATGGAGTGGGTAAAATAAATGAGATGCACACTGCCTGCTGTCCTCATTTGACCTCAGTCATTTCACTACACACACACACACACACACACACACACATCTAAACTTGTGGTCTTTATCTGTACATTCTTGTTTTTTTCTTATTTGCAATGGTGGAATACACATGACTTCAATTACTCTACCTAATACAATTTTGAGGTACAGTAGTTTGACAAAACAATCCCAAATCAAGGTATACCTACTAGCTTTTTCTGGAGCTTTTAGCCATGTCATGGACTTCAACGGCAGCTGGAGTTTCCTCAGTTTTCCTGATGATCTGTGACCTGTGAGCTCAGTAGCAGTCACTTCACTTTTAGGATACGTTGGCCTAAAAGTTAAGCATGAAAGCGAGTGGAGGAAGGTAGATACATTCACTCAGATACTGCACTTATTTTGAGGTACTTGCAGTTTATTTGAGTATTTCTATTTTATTCCTGTTTATACTTCTACCACCCTACAATTCAAAGGGAAATATTTCACTTTTTGCACCATCAGTATCTTTTTAAAGATAAAACCAGTTGTTCCCAACCTTTTTGGCTCGTGACCTTTTACAAAAACACAGTGTCAGATGTGTATGAGTTGTTAGCAGTTAGCAGAGAGATTCCTCTCTACAACTTGTACAGTGGTTTCATTTAGGCCTAAAGAAGTAAAATGATCAAATGTTCCACTTTAAAAAGCAAAGATTACAGAAAAAATAAATTCAAAATGTTTTTAATTCTTTACTATTCCATTAATTAAAATGTTTAGAATGCTGTTTTGGTACTTTTATTTCAAGTAAACGATCTGACCCAGATGCAAATAGGCAACACTAACCCACATACTAGCATGCTGTGTGGGCCATATCTGCATGCAATACACTGTAGATCACCTTAAAACCACCATGCTGTGGGTTGGCTACACCTGGCCTCTAAGCAACAGGCTGAAACTCCAAATGCTGGCTAGTTGTACAATATCTGTCACTTTTAGGATGCGTTGGCTTAAAAGTTAAGCATGAAAGCGAGTGGAGGAAGGTAGATACATTCACTCAAATACTGCACTTATTTTGAGGTACTTGCAGTTTATTTGAGTATTTCTATTTTATTCCTGTTTATACTTCTACTACCCTACAATTCAAAGGGAAATATTTCACTTTTTGCACCATCAGTATCTTTTGAAAGATAAAACCAGTTGTTCCCAACCTTTTTGGCTCGTGACCTTTTACAAAAACACAGTGTCAGATGTGTATGAGTTGTTAGCAGTTAGCAGAGAGATTCCTCTCTACAACTTGTACAGTGGTTTCATTTAGGCCTAAAGAAGTAAAATGATCAAATGTTCCACTTTAAAAAGCAAAGATTACAGAAAAAATAAATTCAAAATGTTTTTAATTCTTTACTATTCCATTAATTAAAATGTTTAGAATGCTGTTTTGGTACTTTTATTTCAAGTTTAAAAAAACATGTATGAAAACTGATGCAGCAGAATCAGAGACATCAGCTTTTTTTATCTCATTCACCAATAAGCACCCCCTCCATGTTGAGTTTGAGCTGCTCCCTTCAGGACGACGATACAGAGCGTCTCTGGCAAACAGGAATATCTATAAGCGATCTTTTATACTTTATCTTTTATATGCAATAAATTTAATGAATAAACTGCACTAATTGGTATTTTTCTGTACAGAAAGTATATTGTACACAGTGTGTATGGGATAAACTGCAATTATGTGATGTGATGGGCGGAGAGATGTACGGCACTGATGTGATATGATGTTGGTATGTTTATATATGTTCATGTTTGTATAGTCATGTTTTTAGAGGTCTGGTGAGACCAAAGACAATTTTCCAGCCTTGGCTGGACAATAAAGTGGTATTCTATTCTATTATCCAACGAAGGTTAAAATCAAGGGCAACTGGACTTGGTTGAAGATACTTCTTCAGTTCTTCAGTTCAGAACTGAAGAAGTCCTTTGGATGAGGGACGAAACGTCTTCCAGTATCTTCAACCAAGTCCAGTTGCCCTTGATTTTAACCTTCGTTGGATAACTATGACCTGGATGACTGAGAATCTTCATAGACATTCTATTCTATTCTATACATTCATCAAAACTGGCGCCTACATAACCCACAATACAACTCCATTACCAACAGTTTGGTCAGAGATTCAGATGTGTTATGTAGCCTCCAGCCATTAGCCTCAACCAGAGATGAGGAGCTGGATATGGAGGTATGGTAAGCTCACTTCTTTCTAACCCCCCTCCCCCCCGCACCCCGGATCTTTTCCATTTTCAAAAGAATTTCTCAGCCCCAACTGTCTCAAGCTACATCACATGAGGGAATTTATCAGACATAGCACTGCTTCCCCTGGAGCCACTGAAGGCTTTTATTACTTTTTGTCACATGTACAGGTGTAAGTACTCCCCAAGACATGCAAACAGACTTGGAGTGTACAATCGATGGAGTTCCCCTTTAAGCAAAATTCAAGCATCTGCTAATTAACCATAATGGCTGCCTGGAATTCTGGTCAAATCATGTGTTTCAAAATAGTCAGCAAAACTCTTGTGTTCAGGATTTGTAGCTGAGATATATATAGTAAGGTCCTTTCAGTAAATGGTATAATAATAATAGTATATATCTATATTTTTGACATTGTTGGGCTATGCATTTCTAATAGAGGAAGGCGGCTGCTTCTTCACTTACTTCTATGCTGGTGATCACTAAGAATAACTGGGCTCACCGTGGGACTGGCCTGGACTAGCCACAGATTCCCACGACCCCTCCTCTACACAGACACACATACACAGAAAGAGAGAGTAATCCAAACACAGGCTGCATAGGCGCACAAGCAGCGAGGAGACACAGAGAGGCAGAGCGGCTTTGCACCACTTTTACTAAGACTGCTATTTACTATAAAAGCTACATTTTCAGGCTCTGCAGCGCTCGCTGCTGCGCCCCACATTGGCTCACACAGCCAAGCCAAGGATGAAAAAAACGTCTTAATCTGAGGAGGAATTAGGTGAAAGTGTGGATTTAACCGCGAGTCAAAGTGGTGGAGAAGGCACACGGAGGAGTGGGAGGAATAACTCAACTCAGGGTTATTTATTTTGATAATGCCGAGGAGCCAGTTTCTGCTTCGGATTTACGTCCAAAACAAGGCAAGTACTCAATCTGCTTCTATCCTGACTGCGTTATTAGTAACCGGACAGTGAACTGCAGTAAATTACTGTAGTCTGCAACAGTGCTGTCGCGCACCATAAATTAAAATATAGGCATTAAAAATGCATGCGTAAGAGCACTTATGAAACATGACTTGATAGGCAATGTAGCCTAACATCTCCGCTTGCGTCCTGTTGAATCACCCGTTGTGTTCACTTGCCTCGGGGGGGGCAAGTGAACACAACGGGTGATGAGTTCGGTGTAGTAACTCCTTATTCATGACTGCAGCGACATTGTGAAGTGAAATCACAAGGTCCTGAAAGGGGTCAGTCGCTTTTACTCCCATGATGATGAATGAGTCGTTCAGTGTCAGTTCAGTCGGAGGGGCTGCTGCGGGGTAGAGCAGAAAGTGGCTCCACAGAGACACCGGAGGAGCTGCAGAAGGGTTGGCATCTCATTAACTCGGCCACATGTCTTATTAAAGCAGCTGTTTCCTGTTCTGTGCAACAGCAGAGTAAACTATCTTCTCTCCCTCTCATGCAACACTTTCTGGCTTAATCCTTGCATTTCTTGCTTTTTGTCCTCTCTTCTGCATCTTCTTCTATCTGTTCAGTCTGAAGCCAGAGGATGACTGCAGCCAGTTCTGTCTGCAGCCCCGCCTCCTCCCACTCCACCCAGTCATCACCTGTCTGCCTCTCAGCATGGCGTAGACACCTGAGGAAAGGCAGAGCCCTCCAAACCAAACTGCACCTGCGTTCTGCACCAGGCGTGTGGCTAATGCTGGGTGTAGTGGTGGTTTTGGTGGGGATGAGTGTCGCGGTGGCGGGCTACGTATCCACAGCCCCAAAGCCCGTGGCTGGCCGAGGCAGCACCCACGTTGAGAGGATGAAACTGGCCGGGCCCATGGTCATGGGTGTGGGCCTGTTCATCTTCATCTGCGCCGCCACGCTGCTGTACGAGAACCGGGACCTGGAAGTCCTCAGGCGAGAGACACCTGATGACCTTGAGGATCTGAAGGGAGGAAGCGGCTGGGAGGATTCGCAGGAGCAGCCCAGCTTCAGCTGTCAGGAGCAGTGGGAGTGTAAAGATGGAGAGCAGGGATGCTGGACCACTCCGGCCCACACACTCCCCCTCTCAAACCAGAACTATGGTCCTCCTCCTCACAGACAGAACATCACCAGCAGACCATCACCGCCGCTTTCTTTAGGTGCAGGAGGTAGAGATAAAGAGGAGGAGGAGGAGGAAGAGGAGAAGGAGGGAAGATCAACCGTGCTGGCCCGAGTTCTGCACCACCAGGAGCCAACTCCTCAGCCTGCCTCCCCCTGCCCCTCAATCGCTAAGACCTCTGTCTCCTCAGACTCTTGCAACTCAAGTGAAATCAACTTCAACATACGGACAGGCACTCCTCTGCCTCAACAGTGAACCCGCTACTGGTTCAACTTCTACTGTCTCATAAAGTATGCATGATGAGAGAGATTTGAACGCATCACGTGCAGACACACACGGAAGACAAGACTATGCATTCCTCAATAAACAGATGAAATGTTTGTTGGTATGTTTTAGTGCCTCCGAGTGGCGCAGTGGCTCTGAGTCACTGTCTGTGAAGGGTGTTTTTGTCCTACATCGTTCTCTGACTCACCCACATTTGAAAGATTGGAGCTATGCTGTTTGATGTCAACTCACCATCTTGTCGTCTTTGAACTCGCCCATGCCCGAAATCCCTAAAGACACTGCTTGTTTGACCATATTTGGACTTGAGGAGGATTCCTGAAAACTTATTTGGGTGCTTTGACACACTCGTTCCCGCTCTCTCCTCCTCTCTCTCTCTCCCTGCAGAGGAACAGTGTTTGCATTTGCTTGCTGGAGAGGTTCGGTTAAGAGGATGAGCCAGATTAAGTCTCAAATGAGTCTTTATCTAATCTCACACATACTGTAATCTGCTCTTTATCTGAGAAAATTGTGTCTCTGTATAAACAAGAGGAGCGCGCAAGGCCACGCTCCACTCACCCAACACCTACAGCCACGCTATAAATACCAGCTGGTGTTCTGTACACATGAGTTTCAGTTATTTACTGTAATTCAACCTTTTTTTTTTATTCACAGTGTCAGCCGTTCACTTGTTCACCTAGCGAGTGTTGTGAGGAGAGATCCTAAATGGTATCAGTCAGTGTGGATAGAAAAAAAAAAGAGCAATGAGTTCCAAAAAAACAAAAATAACAGCAAAATCTGGTGAGGCTGTTATGAGTTATTCCTGACGCAGCTTAACTGAGAAAAGTGGTCCTGTGAGTCGTGTAACTGAAGCTTCACTCTCCCACCATCCCCGACCTTTCATCTCCTCTCCCTCTTCATCATCTGATTCCTACGCTTTATTCAAATAGTCCATTCCCCCATCTCAGTCCTTGGCTTGTGCAAAACAGCAAAAGTGTGGAGAAAACAGAGTAAATGTTGTCGGGCCCAACTGAGCAAAAGCGAGCCTGTTTGAACAAGCTGAGAGGTAAAGGGGGTAGGATTTTTAATTATCGCCAGCATTTTCTCCTCCAGCCTCTAATTACACAGGGGATCAGTCTGAGGGTTTTTATAGGTGCTTTAGGACTGCGGAGTATTTCCTTGTTGTTTGGGCCCATGCTGGGATCCTGCCATCCAGATGACGACTGAGACTGAAGTGTACAGTAATTTGCAGCCACACATTTCACTCACTAAAAGCAGCACCCATATCTCTCTCTCACACACACAGCCTCAGCAGAGAGGGCTTGTTGGGAAGATGTGTCTGAATCTTGCAACAAGCTGCAAGCAGCCTCCTGCGCACTTATCGCTCAGAAAAGCAGCCCTCGCCGCACTCTCACACATACACGAGTCCTTCTCGATGTCAGATGCTCTGACGTGTTTGCATTCTGAAGGAAAGATGCTGGATTGTAGAGCTGCAACTAGACATTATTTTCATTGCAGATTAATCTGCAGGTTATTTTCTCAATTGCATATTGTCAAATCTTTTTGTCTACACACTCTTTTTGTCTGCCAGCTTCTTTAGTTACACGCAGCTAAAACTAATGTATTCTAATAAAACGCAATAAATCCTACCTTCATAATGTTCAATTTCTAGAGGTTTTATGATCATGTTAGACGCTGCAGTTTGTAGTGCTGTTTGATTGTATTGCGTTATACTCACCGTGTTTCTAAATTTTTGTCAGTGAGGCTAAATAACACCAACACCTCTCTACATAATGTAACACAAGTTACATGCTCCAAAATGTATAAAAATGTAAGATTATAGTGAAAAAATAGAGAAAAATAAGTCATTCATTTGCTTCAAATTGCAAACAACAGTCCAAAACTCAAACATACTCAGTTTAGTATCATATAAGACAAAAAGAAGCAACCAAACTAGCAAATGTTTGGCATTGCTGCTGAAAAAAAATGACTCAAATGATTACTAAGTGTTTCATCTCTGCTCTGATTTACTGGCCGTTAATCCTGGAATTGAGATTAAATTGACATGTGAAATGTCTTTGAATCTGACACCAAACACGCGCATGCAAGCAGCACTGCAGCAACACAGAATACAACAAGTCTTTGAGGTTTCTCATGCGTACATCAGTGTGTATGTGTGTGTGAGACAATGCCATTACATAATTCAGCAACACACATTTTTTGCTGCATTGAGAATATAACTGAATCGAATTCCCCCCTCTGAGAGATTAGTGCGTGTGTGTGTTGATACATATCTGAGGAGACGGATGGGAGACTGTAAGCTGCTTAAACCATGCGCTGAGTCAGGATGCATGCAATTTCTCTGTTCCTTAAGAGAGAGAGAAGCTATGATCAACATGTTTTGGTATAAGATATATGAGTGACTGAGGATTAACCAGCCTGAAAGATACCGGTTTAAAAAACTGTCTAACTCAAAGACTTCACCTGTTACAGCAGGAAAAGGGATTCTGTTAAGGTGTCTTTGTAAAAAGTGAGAGGCATCAGCTGGATGTTTTCCGCCACCCCTGTCTACATCTGGCATTCAGTTTTTCATCAAAACAAAGGGATGAGTTACCAGCCTGGTTTTCTATGTAACCTTCACGCTGTATCTTCTGTTACAACAGCTAATAAACCAAATGACATTTCAAGCTCCACCTCCTCTTCTCTCACAGGCCTTACCAATCCAGGTGTGGTTTGTAATTTGCAACAAAACTCCCCTTGTTTGATCATCCGCAGCCTTTCAGCAGCTGTGATTGGTGCAGGACAAATAGCAAGGTGCATTCCTGACTAATCCAATTTCATCCCTGCTTCCGGTCTCCTCTGCAGTCCGAATGGTGCAGTCAGTGGAAGCAAAATCCCGCTCAAAATGAAAGGACTAATAGTCTGTGTTTTTGCCATCATGATGCTCACACCTGCTCAAGGTAATATGGCGTAGTAACTTGATTTCTAGTAGGTGTAGACCAAACAGTATCTTCTGTACAACCCTTGAAACAACTGGGCATAGAAATGTTATCATTTCTGGTTGATAGTTATTCATAAGTTACAGATTCTTACTTCTACCTATAAGGATTTGATTAATATTGAATATATATATATATATATATATATATATATATATAAATAATATAATATAATATGTGTGTGTGTGTGTGTGTATTTAGTAGCCCACTTAATTAGTGAAATATGAGACTATAGCCCTGCAATAAATTAGGACTACAACTAACAATCTAGTAATTTGGTTTACAAAACATCAGAAAATAGCATTAAAAGTCCATCTTCCCAGAATTTAAGGTGACATCTTCTAATGTCTAGTTTTGTCTAACCCCCCCCCCCCCAAAATTGAATTTACTATAACATAAGACAAGGAAATGCAGCAAATCTCCACATTTAAGAAGCCAGGACCATCAAATGATTGGCTTTTTTTTTTTGCTTGAAAATTTGAAGATTATTCAATTGATAATTGCCGATATATTTTCTGTCAATGCAAAAATCGTAAAAAAGTACTGCAGTAAATCCTACTTTCATTAAGGTTATAATCTTCAGTTTTTGTTTTTCATTGTTTTAAAATAAGTGTTAATTCCACTGTATGGTCATTTTGGAAGCGGCAATTTTATCTACCCTCACTGATTTAAATGGGGTGAAGAAAATATTAGAAACACAGTTCAACAGCACCACAAGATACATTCTCCAAAACGTCCATACGGTTGAACAACACATCCCTAAAACAGTTTCAACAAACACTGAACATGATAAACGAGGGAAGGATTTATTGCAGGGCTGTTGTATTAGACTGCACTGGCTAGACACAACTAATGAATTGGCAGCTATATAGGGTATAGCTTTAGTAAGCCTGTACTCTCCTCACGGTGAACTCAACCTCACTACTCTTTAGCCTGCACGTTTCACCTGAGCTAGCACTAGCTAACAAGATGAGAGGGGATAAGGACTGTGAGTCTCACTGAAACTCATATTATGGCCCCGAGGAGATTAGTCCTTTTTCAGCTCTGAAGTCAGCTGTTTGCCAACTGTCTGTGCTCAGACAGTGAACTCCAAACCTAAAGCTCAGCGACGGTGTTAAATCCAAAACTGCCTAGACAATCATGTTTTCGTATCCAAATATGCTGCAATTAAAATAATTTGAATATAAAGTGGTTTAGTTAATATGAGGTTAAAATGAAGACTTTTATTTTAAATGGGTTTTCAGCCACATTTGATGAGATTTGATTAGAAAATGTTTTGTTCTGTAGCAAATAGTAGTAAATAGCTATTTTTAGGAAGAAGGCTCTTTGCATTTCAATGTGTGGTACTAGTTGTATTATTTTGGGGGATTTGTGCAGTACAGTGTGGTAGGAATAACTAAGGGTTTGTCCCATTCCAGCCAACTCTTTCAATTAATTCCAGTATCTGTCTGGTTAATAAAAACACGATGAAGCCCGAAGACTTGGAGCACTCCCTCAATAACACAAGTCATCCACTCAAAGAAACAAATTCCAGACTGCTGCAGAATAAACAAAACATTTCTGAGATGCTCGGCAGAATGTGGCTCATCAGCTTGGCTTGATGTCCTTCAGCGGCGTTCCAGCACTTCACACATTCAGCACCCCCTGAATAATTAATGTGTCCAACAAGCTATTACATAAATGCCTCAAAATCTGCATAATCCAAAGCATTTCATCCATTAATCTGACATCTACACTGTTACTAAGTGTATACTCTCTGTTCTTTGCTTATTTTTTTAGTGTTGTTTTATTAGTTGCATGATCTTGTACAGTTATGTCTGCCACTTTTTATCCTGCTGTATTGTGAGTTTCTTGCAAATAAGTTTCTAAACTCAACGGGACTTATCTGGTTAAATAAAAAATAAAGTAAAATAGAAAAAAGTTTCTCAGATTTTGCTCAATATACTACACATAATTACATTTAAATTTATAAAAACAATATCTTATTCAATAAGAATAAGATGTGTTTTTTTCAAATATCTCATTGTTAGACACTGGTCTCCTTTGGCAGCAACTTTTTTGCCAGTAGAGCTTTACTGCATCAAGCTGTCCTGTTTCTGTGGGGTTCCTTGGGCTCAGGTGAGGAGGAGGAGCAGTTACAGCAGCTCATGGAGTCAGTCGGATTTGAGGAAGAAGTAGGGGAGTATCTGAAGTGTTTCTACTGTGACCTGGGCTTCTGGGATGCCTGCTACACCACTGAAACCAACTGCAGCCTCGGGGAACGCTGCTACACGGGCCGAGGGAAGGCAGGTGTGTTGGATAAGACTGTGTATGTTTATTAATTAATATCTAAGCATTAGAATGGTTATCAGGGTAAACTTATATACTTAGAGACCTTATACTGAATACCATTGTCTTGTCTCCCCAGCTGATACTCTGGACGTGAAGACTTTAGGTTGTGTGAAGGCGGAGAAGTGCGGCGTGGAGACTATGGTGGAGCTCTTCTCCAACAAAACCATCTTTGTCATGACCAAACACTGCTGCGACACTCCCTTCTGCAACTCGGCACACACGCTTCCAACCAGCACACTTTTTCGTCTCACTGTGGCTGTTCTAACTACCTGGCACCTCGCTGAAGCCTCATGGGGACCACAGTAAAAAACCTGCATTTATTCATGGTGTCAAACCAAAAAAGACAAAGACATGAAGTTTGAAGTGATGCTGAAAGGACTTCAACCATATGGTGAAGAAAAATGACCAGCTTTGCAGAACCTTTGTACAGTCCAATAGACTGCTGAATTAGAAAACACTACTTAGATACATATTCATTTAGAAAAGCTTTAATCCAACCAATTTGTTTGTATCATATTAAATTGAATTAATGGTATTTTAACTGAAAAAAACATGAAAAGGTTTGAGCTGGGTTTTTTTTTGCTACAACATAAACCTTGCCGACACATGCTGTATAATAAATGTTTCAGTCACACTGTAATATAATTCTTGTCATGTATTTAGATAAATATATCCTGTCTACAGGTAAAACATCGGGAAAAGTCTGCTCGCCCCCAAAAGTAACTGAAAACGTTTGATAGTGAATGAACAAACTGACCGCAGAGCTGTAGAAAAACTTTTGCAGAACAGTTTAGCTGAGGTTCAGCAGCTCCCCAGCAGAGGGCAGGAGCTCCTCTTTCATGAAGTGCTGAAGGTCCAAGTCTTTGTCCTCCAGGTCCAGGTTCAGGAACCTCTCCACCACAGACCTGCACCTGCCCGTCACACACATACGAACATACCTGGCTGTATTACATACACTACTCGCTTGAGTTTTCATTGTCATTCTGTGCAGCTGGAGTTTAACAAACCTGTTTGCCTGCTCATCAGATGATGCTTTGTCAATGCGTTTGATGGGTCTTCCTGTCCTGTACAGGTCAGACACCTGACCAATCACACACAGTCAGTCAATGTGAGCATGCTTCTGTGAATCTGTGTGTGTGTGTGTGTGTTTACCTCCACTCCTCTCTGTACAATGCTAGTTGGCAGGCCTGCCAGTGTAGCGATGTTGGCAGCATAGCTGGACTGACAGATTCCTTCCTTCAGTTGGTACAGAAACACCAACTCATCCCCGTCCACTGCTGTCTCTAGAGTCTAACACACACACACACACACACACACATATAAAAACACAACCACATACACATAAAAATTCAGTACTTATAAAATAAACTTCTAATGAGGTAAAACACATCTCAAGTGGAGCCTCATTATCTAATCACTTGGAAGTTTTGCTGTCAATTTATTCTGCAGCACATTATTTTACCATCATGAAACCTCACTAACATTCACAAAATGCTTCTGGCTACATTTTATTATTGTGCAAGCTTGGCTAAGTATTTCTCAGTACCAGCAGAGACAGCAGGCCAGAGGAGGGTAGAAGGCCCAGCTGCAGCAAACTGTGGAAGTTAGTAGCCAACAGGACGTGAGGAACATCCCCCGGAGCTTTTCTCAACCAATGAGAGACCGAAGCAGCCAGCAGGGACAGTCCATCCACCTGAAGGGGAACATGATACTGTCAGCTGTGTTTTGGAGCAAGGATGACGCAGCTATTGGTGAAGGTTAAAGTTAAGGTCTTTACCCAAACCGTTGTTAGCCAGAACATTGGTGCCACAAATAAACCAGTTCACAGGACGTTCCTGCTCATTGTTCTGTGGATTAAAAAGTCCACCCACTAAGATGTCCTCCTTTCTTTTTGACTGAGCAATAGTATTACAACAACAAATGTTAACTTAATTGATGATAACGTTACAGGCGATTATGCTTCATCTTTGCAAATGAATTGCTACTCACTGGCAATAATAATGACCTAATTAATATTAAAATAAGACAAGCATCTTAATTAAATGGATTGATTTATGACAGAAACATGTATCCATGCACACAAGAAAAGAAATTCTCTGTGTAAGTCAATATAGTCAATCTGAATTCTAATCACAAAAGACAAAGTTTGTTTGTTTACTTTGAACGTTGTTGTAAAACTAGGTCGCGCTTTCTCCACAAGGGAGAGCTGTTCTGTCATTGAACCACCCACAGGAAAGGAAAGCAAAAACCGCTTAAATTTTCACACGTTACACCACCTGTGGGTAAGGTTTTCGGTTTTACATTTAGCACTTACCTCTAGTGGACATTACCACAAATACTGAGATATAACTGAAATGCAGTTCAGCTTGTGGTTGTAAAACATATGTTAGCCTTTGAAGATTTATTCATAAAATCTACTATTGAACCTGCTATATAACTGATTTGTTGGTCACTTGGGGCAGTGGAAACAAGATGAAATTAACATATAATCAATCATCGTTTTAAGTTGTTATGGTGAACCTTTAGCAAACTGCTTATCTGTCGTGTTTCTATCCACCTGGCGAATGTAAGTCCAATATTCATTTTCTTTCAGCTCTGTTTTGGTCTCTACCAACTCCTGAAGGAAATATCTGGCTCTTTAGTTGAGTGCTTAATGCTCCAGCTAAAAGCAGCTGCCTACTGCGGCTGGAAATGATGCTATGAGAGCAATGAAAGTGAATTAAAACAGTAATGTTCAGCCAGACAGCTAAACAATGAGCTGAAACTTACTAAAACTCCATGAAGCCAAAGGGAGCAGCAGTCTGTAGGTTTATAACTACAACAAACCCCTTTCACATTGTCCTTTGATACATTGTCGTGATAAAAATATTGATTATAGGCATTAACACTATAATCAATAATTAACTGGCCTAAGACACAACATATTCAGCGTACATTAGTATACTTTCTTTTGTTGTTTTGTTCTGGGCTCTGCCTCCCACCTCTATGTCTCCTATTAGACAAATAAAATTGGTTTGGACTCTCCCCATCCTTCTGTAGAGTAGCCTGGCATACAGTAATAGAGTACAGAGAACATAATGATGCAGTGTGAACACTGTATGTTTCATAATATCCAGCAGGAGATTTGCTCCAGTTACCAAAATTTAAATATAAAAACAATATGTAAGTAAGCATATGAAACACTTCAACACAAAAAAACAGCAGCTATTTAAGATCAGCAGTTATAACAGTCTTTGTCTATGGTTCCAAAATTGCATTATTACTTCCCTTGCCTGTAGACGGCGCATATCAACACTTCTACTGTATTTCTGTAGTTCTAAACAGCTGCTGCAGTTTTCATGCTGGTAGGTGGCACATGTTGGGCTGAACTGAAGGTCTTTTCGTGCAGCAGCTCTAAATTGGACAATGTTGGCTGGGATTGGATTCAGGCGCTTCACATTAATGACACTGTGTGTCCTTGTTATGTGTGTACATATGTATTTAATTCACAAAGCACAGGAAAGTTCTTCTTACTGAGTTAGTTCCTTTCCCAAATTCATCGATGAGAACTAATGAGTTGCCGGTACTGCTGTTGAGAGCCTGGGCCATCTGGAGAATAGAGACATAAAGTGTTATACTACACACTGTACTACACTGTTTTATTGTGTGTGTTTGTGTGTGTGTGTGTTATGTGTGTGTTATGGTTGTAGGCAGTAGCTGCTTTACAAAAATGTCTTGACAGGTGGAGAGTGGGAGAGGAGCTGGAAGACAGTAGTGTTGGAAGTTCATATCTTTTATTTCCACACCCACACACACTGACATACAAACACACACAGAAGCCTGTGTCCATATAAGTGCGTGTGTGTGTGTGTGTGTGTGTGTGTGTGCGTCAGGTACTTGGTTGAGGTCTATCATGAAGGTGCTGAGGCCCACAGACACAGACTCTCTGCTCTGCATGCGGGTAAAGATCCCATCCACCAGACCGATCTCTGCCTCCTTTGCGGGCACATCTGAGCCAATCAGAGCCATGAACACAATCAGACCCACCTGCCAAAATCAAGTCAGAAGACCGGTTAAGAGACAAGTCAAGATTGGATGTCAAGCGCTGTTGTGTGAACTCACCCAAATGGAAAACATCAGCCATTCTCAGTAGCAGCCTTGAGGTCAAAACCCCCCAATCGAGTGTAAAATGATTCTCCTGAAATACTGCAAATTAGTTTCAAGGACTCTTCTAATAATTAATCAATTAAAATATATAAATAATGTATAAAACGTGTACATCATGACAGCAGTCATCATCCAGCACAATGCTGAGGTAACTACTGTCTGTAGTGCAACTACTGGTGATGAAGAAACAGATGATGAAGGCAAGATTATGTGCAATTTAGCAGAATTATGTGAACAAGTGTTGTCTCCCATATGTATAGCGTCAGTGGTCTTTTGTTTCTTTAAAGCTCTCCGTTAATTTCGCTGTAACGTCTTGCCTCAACACAGTGTATGACTAGTTGTAGTGAAAGAAACAACAAAGACTTAATGTTTGGCCAAACATCAATGACAAGCCAATTTCAGGTAAACAGGAAACCACAAATGGTTGAATATCGAGCTAGCCAAGACCAGAAGCAGTTTATCATTGGACCTGTTACTGAGACGATCGTGTAATTGTTAGGAACAGAGATTTTTCTGACTGTCCCACCTGTTTGAGGTAGATGCTCTTGCCAGATGAGTTGGGGCCAGTGATCATCTTGACTCGGCCCTGCAACTCTGAGCTCTGGAAGGCATTGGCGACAAACATGGGAGAGCACAGCTCTAACAGCGGGTGTCTAGAAAATCGGAAAATACAAACATTTCAGTCCTGTACTGTATTCTTATTAAATACCACTTCTGCTTTATGTGTGCATGTGCCTGTTTGTGTGTGCTGTGAATGTGAATAGTAATCCGACTACTGTTAGATTAGCTTACATGACATGATACATACTATCATACTTTACTGGACACTTTAGATTACAAAAAGAAGCGGAGCACCTGGGTAATTGTTATCATTCAATTATCATCAATTATCATCTAGTGTTTGAGTGCTTACCTGCCCTGTGTGACTGTTATCGTCCTGTGGCTGGCCATTTTGGGTGAGGTGTAGCTGTACTCTTGGGAGGCTCTGCTCATAGCCATCAGACAGTCCAGCTCAGCAGTGAGATCCAGGACCTACACAGCACACACAGTAAACACACTGACAGCACTGAACACCGTTTTGACCAATTAAAGAGGAGCAAGCAAGAGCTCTAGTGTTCAATAAATTAGCATGTGACGGAAGCTGATTATTTAGCCACATTTGGTGGAAAGTATTAGTATTTAGAACATGCTGAGAATACTGATGGACAACAAAGAAGTGGATTATGTTGCAGGAGCAGTGTGAGAATTTACTTTGGATGTTTTCATACTCCACTGGAATGGGAATCCACCGAAAGAATGGGTGAGTGTGAGTGTTTAATTCCCAAAAGAGAGATTTTGGGTGTCACTTTAATAAAGCTTAATTTCAACATCTGAAACCCTGCAATTCTGTATTTTAATAAAGCTCCTTATTTTACATCAGTGCAATTGGCAAGTTCCAATCTGCTTAATAGCTAGAACATTTTAACCACAGCTACAATATTGGGAAGACAATAACCCATCATCTAACCTTAATGCTCATTCTGCCCTAAAAAATAACAATAAAATTTGCAATTACAGCATGAAATAGCGGCACACTCATCTGTCATGAGACAAATTTCAAAGCACTTGAAAATAACTTGTAATGGGAGTAGGACCTGTTTTATAGTGTGTGAAACAAAATCCAAGGAAACACTGATAGCTAATCACAACAAACTGATAGCTAATCACCTACACACATTAACAGAATAACTTGCCAACAATTATTTTAACAGAGTGGGAGTCGTGTTTTAAACTCTGGAACATGAAGTGCACAGTGATGCATGACAACCTTGTAGAGGGAGATGCTCTTCTCAAGGATTGTGTTCTGCAACTGTGTCATTACTGCCGTCTCCATGTCTGAGAAATAGGAAGTATGCCATCAGGAAAGCCTTTAGTGGTCGGGGTCATTTCTAAAAAATGTCAGGTACACAGCTCGGGTAAAGGTTTTCTGTTAGTAAGAAGGTAAAATACCTCTAATGTCACAGTGCAAGTCTCCTAGGAGGTCGTCTAGCTCCTTCGTTCTCTGGCTGCGGTAGTGCAGACGGTCCTCTGACAGAAACTAGGCCACATGCACATAAGGAAAAGACAGAGTATTACAGCACATGAGCATTTGACATTTTGAAGAACACAAACACTCAAAATGAACAGGTTGACAAGATCATAAGCAAACCATAAAATCAAGCCCCTCTATATAAAAATCCTCTTTCTCCACCATGCTGGGCAGGCGAGGGACAGAGAGCAGGAATCCAATCTGTAAGGAGAATTAAACAATGTAAAATTGTAAAATATACATGAGCATTGATATATGTGGTACTGCAGAGAAACTATTATCGACATGTCTCATAGTACGAAGCCCACTACATAATACTGTACAGTAGGGCAGAAGCCAGATAAGTAAACAAAAATGTAGTTGCAAAGATAAAGCTCAGACCAGAGGGATGTAGATGACACAGCAGGAGGGGATGCGAGCGTCCAGGTGTTCCAGCTCTCTTCTGGCTACATCTGTCAGGAAGTCGGACAACCCCATCATCTTCCTCTTCTCTGACAGGGGGAGGGAGTGTTGTTTAGACTTTAAATCAACCACCATCCGAACTTATCAACACAGGCTCAAAACACTTGGAGATTTCTGATCAGGCTTTTCAGCACTTATTATGCGAGTTAAACTATATTCTCCAGTTTTGAATCCAGCATGGAGGCACTTACTCTCATCAATTGCTGGGTCCACATTTGGTTTGATGCTGAAGCGCTTCTCAGCTATGCTGGTTTCAAAATCCACCTACATGTTCCAAATCAGAGGTGGAGTCAAATTTGTTAACAGTCTGCAAAACAATTGTGTACTACTGAGCATGGCAACAAAGGCCAGGAGATTTCTCAGATTTAAAGCTGTGTATTAATGTGTGCGTCTCACAACTCGGCTGATGAGGGAGGCAACATGGTGGAGGTCATCAGAGAATCCTTCACTGATGTCACGAAAGAGCTGAATGGACTGAGGTAGGTGTCGCACCGTGTCCCTGATGCACACTGCATTGTACACTGTCTGACAAACCCACACCAGCACAACACTTAGCAGAACCCGTCAGATGGATAAGGTGAGAATGGTAAAACTGTACCTCCAACCTTGTAGAGACTCTGCCAGTCTGTCACTTTGGTGTGAGAGAGAGACATCCTGCGCAGAAGAGTCTGACACACAAGCACAGACCGGCTTTAGGCAGAGTCATAACTTCTACGTTCATGTTGTGACAAGGCACTTAAGGGGATAAATGGTCACAGATGTGGAGAAAAAAAGTAGGTCATTGGACAGAGTTGTTACTGGTATGTTAGTGATGTTGCGTAGCGAAGCCTGCAGGGTGCTCAAGGCGTCAGAGTTCCGTGGTGACGTGAAGAAACGAATCACTTCCTGTCTCCTGTGTAACACAGCCAGGTCCTGCGTTGGCCGCATAAACCACTGGCTGAGAGAAGACAGGAAATCACTCACACTTACTGTAAAGCAAACAGCACAAACTTGCAAAGTTTACATCTTCCAATCGGACAATAACCAGAGTTAAACAGATGTGGCGTGTATGCAAAAAATAATGGTCATGTAAAGACAAAAGGGAGAATTACATAAATGTACATTCCCACAATAATCATAGTATGGAATTAAGACAAATACAAATCTTCGGTCTGATTTTTTGTTTGTTTCTAATGGACTGAATATTCCTAATAAATCAACAATAAATCAACTTTTGAAGTAGTTATTGTTATATTTATAATTATTGTGCTTTAAGCATTATATAGAGCACTTTGAATTTCCTGTTTATTAAATTAGCTATAAACCTATCAGTTGCATTCATAGTACCAGTAGTAGTAATGGTGGTGCTGCAACACTACCAGAGGAATCTGACATCAATTTCTCATATGAACAATATAAACTGTTATAGACCATAGTGGCAAAGACATCAGCTTAGTTAAACTGGATACTGATGACCTGCTAAAAGTAATAATAAAAGAATTATATTCTCTTGTGATAAAGTAACAGCAAATAATTTTTTTGTTGCGTGACTGGACTATCACAAGAGGTGTTTCTCACCGTAGCAGTTTGGAGCCAAACTTGCACCTACAGCGGTTCAGTATCCCTGTGACACATAATAATAAGGAGTTCATGTAAATACCATTAAATAAGACTAAAAGATAATGTCCTGAATGCTACCTTCAGGGCCACATACCATAAAGACTGAGTCCTTCCTTTTCACCTGAATGGAGCTTGTACACTGATGGGTGAAGTTCTGATTTAAAGATCTGCAGTACACTGGAACAAATACCAATACGAATGGTGATGTCTCAACCACCCCTTGTCTCTTTTTATATGTTTTGCCTGCTTAACCTAATAGTGAATCCAATTTGAATATCACATTTTATACAACTTTAGCACATTTTAATTCTTTATTTTACAGAAATACAGTGTTGATCACAAAAGGTGCCAAACCACAATGGCAAATTAAATCTAAAACAAAAACAAAACAAAGGCAGGAAAGCAAAAGTTAGATCCAAGGTAAGCACGTAATAGTCAAATTAAAATATACTATACATCTGTTTTAGTTGTGGAACAGGGAACGATTAACGAGAGATTTAAGAGATCAGTGTCAGCTTTTAGGGAAACATACTGGAAAAGGACAATTTATAATGGAGACTTTGCTTGAACACTTTTACCTGTAGGTGTCTCGGTCAATGCAAACAACGCTTTTACTATAATGGGATGAAGCACATTTCAGAGAAGAAACATTTTCATTCGTTAAAACTTCTGCATCACATGAGATGGGTTTGGTTTGCTGGTAGATAGAGAACAGAGATGTAATGTAAAATGTAACTCAGTAGATGTACACCAATGAATGCTACTGCTGCCTGTTAGACAGACTAAAACCTGTTTAGCTAAACAGAGAGCAGTGAAAAATCACTATTCATTGACAAAACTCATTGTGGAAAATGTGTAATCACTCTCCTATGTGTGTGCTTGGCCACATTAATGTGTGTCTTACAGTGTGTAGGCGTGAAACTGTAGGATAGGAACTCCAACACTGCTGTCTTCCAGCTCCACTCCTACTCTCCTCCTGTCCAGACATTTCAGCAGAGCGCCCACTGCCCTCAGCTACCCAACAGATGTACACAACACAAACATCAACACACATATACACAAGAAAATGATGGACAACGATCGAGTGACGGATGGGATGATCCGTAGACAGCTGGCTCACCATCAGGGGAGAGTCAAAGGACATACAGGAGGAGAGGTAGGACATTTTTTCTCTCTCTGAAAGGGAGGCAGGAAGGAAAGGCAGATGGGCAGAAAGTAGCCTCTGCTTACCAAGCTCCAGACCTGCATCATTCAAAAACTGACTCAAAATCAATCTGTTCATTGTGAAAAAATCATGCAAATTATTGCAGAAACCCCGCTTAAAATTAATAAGGACATTTGTATATCATTTGTGGGTGTCTGTTTACCAAAGTCAACATATGGATAAGTAACCACCTCTGGGTTGTAGTCTGGATTTGAACCTGGGATACAACAGATGGAAAATAGCAGTAGTTTCACATGGTAGAATTTTTTCACTATAGGGTAATCAGTAAACGTCTTATAAAGCGGTTTGTAATAGCTATTAAATCACTCTTCTCCCTTATCACATTAGCTAGCTGAAGTGTCAAGCAGCCCTAATCTCATTGCATTCCCTTGACCCAGAAACTACATGTCCCGTACCATGTGTGACATTTTTCTGTTTCCCCTCCCTATAGCAAGATAATTCTTGTCTCCCAGCACTCACCAAGTTGTTGCAGGAAGCGTGTCATGCAGAGCTCCTGCTTTGCACTGGTAATTATTACATGGGGACTAACCTCCAGAATGACTAAACAACAGACAAAAGTGGATACAAGCTACATACAGTAAAGTATGGCAAGCACCAGTTTATATACACAGTTGTCATTTTTGAGCTATTTAAAATACATGAAAGCCATAAACCTAATCTATTTGGGGTTAGAGACTGTGCAGCAGGCTGTGTAATGTTTACCTCTAGCCAGCAGGTGGAGCTCGTAGTTGTCAGGAGTGTCCATCATGTAGTGTAAAGAGGAGTCCTTACTGTCATAGAAGCAGAGGCCCACCTGTCCCTGCTGGGCTAAAACACTCAGTAAAACCTGGTGATAAACAAATACAGGAGTATGAATCTGACTGTTACGACTATCCACTACCCTGTTGGAGAGCGTGACGCCTGAACTTACCACAGATTGGTCTTCCTCCTCTTCTTCATCTTCATTCATGCCCGGGGGACCAAAAACTAACCCTCCTCCTCCCAGACTTTCCAGTGATGCCATGACCAGTTAATTCTAGACAGGAACAGTCCGTTTAAGCTAATAATGTAATGCTCTACATCAGAGGATTTCAAAGCGGGAGGCGGGGCTCCCCAGGGGGCTCCAAACAGTTTAATGGGAGGCTCCGTGATTTTTTTTTTTTCCACAATTATATCATTAATTAACCAGAGGAGATATAGAAAAGCCTAAATGTGTGTGCTTTGGTTAAAGGCATTGTTCAGGGACTCAGTAGTTTGGGGGAATTTTACAGTTTTTCCCACATTTGCAGAGATTAATAACATAAAGTATCTTCATTGTCTGTCAAAGGTTAACAGAAACTTTCCTTTGACAAGGCTCAACACTGAAACAATAACACATATTTAAACCCATCTAGATTGATAGATGCAAGATAGAACTAAAATATTAAATAAGCTAAAAGATAAAATTACCACTGATCAAACACTAACTTCCACAGTCTCAGACTTTGAAAACCCCTGCTCTACATCAGTTATTTGACAATACAACCCACATCATCAAACCTTCAAAAACAAACTTTTAGCTAACTTAGTTAGCTGTCTAGGTTAATCAATTAGCCAATAAAACGGAGTTAATCCAAATTAGCTACCATTTAGCCAAGCTAGCTACTGTAAAATAGCTACCTTGAGCCAAGCCACATTAAGTTAGCTAACATATACTTACAGGAGGTCTTGGACTTTATATTTTAAAGCAAACTTTAATCTTTTCTTGTCAGTTTTCCAGGAGCGCTCACGTGACATGACGTCACATGCGCGGGCATTCCTTCCTGTCCCGCTGTTGTCATGACAACGGTGTGCCGTTTGACAATGATGCTACACGGACACAACGTGGAACAAAAAACACAAACAAACAAGCAAACAACATTTAGTTATTATAGTTATTTTTATTAAAGTAGGATTTAACAAAGATTTGCTGTGTGCAATAATGTACCTGGTCTATGCTATTAGTACTACTACAGTGGGGGAAATAAGTATTTGACCCCTTGCTGATTTTGCAGGTTTGCCCACTTACAAAGAATGCAACAATCTACAATTTTAATCATATGTACATTCTAACAGTGAAAGACAGAATCCCAAAGAAAATTCCAGAAAATCACATCATATGAATTTCTAAAAATTGATAACCATCTGATGAGGAAAAACAAGTATATGACCCCCTACCAAACAGCAAGTATTCTGGCTCCTACAAGCCAGTTAGTCTTTCTTTAAGACACAGCCCCAATCCCAACCAATTATCTACATAAAATACACCTGCCTCACCTCGTTACCTGTATAAAAGACACCTGTCAACACCCAAACAACCAGCATCCAACATCAGCACCATGGGCAAGACCAAAGAGCTTTCTACGGACATCAGGGACAAGATTGTTGATCTGCACAAGGCTGGGATGGGCTACAAGAGAATCGGAAAGCAACTTGGAGAGAAAAGATCAACTGTCGGTGCAGTTATCAGGAAATGGAAGAAGCACCACACCACCGCCAACCTCCCTCGGTCTGGGCCTCCACACAAGATCTCGCCTCGTGGGGTGTCCCTGATCATGCGAACGGTGAGGAATCATCCCAAAACCACAAGGGGGAACTGATGAATCAACTGAAGGCAGCTGGGACCACAGTTACAAAGAAACGGTTGGTAACACACTACGCCGTCATGGATTGAAATCCTGCAGCACACGCAAGGTCCCCCTGCTCAAGAAGAAACATGTACAGGCCCGCATGAAGTTCGCCATTCACCACCTGGACGACTCAGAAGAGGCCTGGAAGAAGGTGATGTGGTCAGATGAGACCAAAATAGAACTTTTTGGCCTCAACTCGTCGTGTTTGGAGGGCAAAGAACACCGAGTACAACCCAAAGAACACCATCCCCACCGTCAAGCATGGTGGTGGCAACATCATGCTTTGGGGGTGCTTTTCAGCCAAGGGGACGGGACAACTCCATCGTATTGAGGGGAGGATGGACAGGGCCATGTATCGTGGAATTCTGGACCAACATCTCCTTCCCTCAGTGAGAGAGCTGAAGATGGGTCGAGGATGGGTGTTTCAGCACGACAACGACCCTAAGCACACCGCCAAAGCAACAAAGGAGTGGCTGAAGAAGAAGCACATCAAGGTTCTGGAGTGGCCTAGCCAGTCTCCAGACCTGAATCCAATTGAAAATCTTTGGAGGGAGCTTAAAATTCGAGTTGCCAGGCGACAACCTCGGAACCTGAATGATTTGGAGGCTGTCTGCAGGGAGGAGTGGGCCAACATCCCTGCCGAAATGTGCACAAACCTTGTCACCAACTATAAAAACCGTTTGACATCTGTGCTGGCCAATAATGGCTTTTCTACAAAATATTAACATGCTGTTTGTCCAGGGGGTCAAATACTTGTTTTTCCTCATCAGATGGTTATCAATTTTAATAAATTCATATGATCTTTTCTCTCCAAGTTGCTTTCCGATTCTCTTGTAGCCCATCCCAGCCTTGTGCAGATCAACAATCTTGTCCCTGATGTCCGTAGAAAGCTCTTTGGTCTTGCCCATGGTGCTGATGTTGGATGCTGGTTGTTTGGGTGTTGACAGGTGTCTTTTATACAGGTAACGAGGTGAGGCAGGTGTATTTTATGTAGATAATTGGTTGGGATTGGGGCTGTGTCTTAAAGAAAGACTAACTGGCTTGTAGGAGCCAGAATACTTGCTGTTTGGTAGGGGGTCATATACTTGTTTTTCCTCATCAGATGGTTATCAATTTTTAGAAATTCATATGATGTGATTTTCTGGAATTTTCTTTGGGATTCTGTCTTTCACTGTTAGAATGTACATATGATTAAAATTGTAGATTGTTGCATTCTTTGTAAGTGGGCAAACCTGCAAAATCAGCAAGGGGTCAAATACTTATTTCCCCCACTGTATGTCCGTTGTGATACTAAATATTTTCCATTACTGGTAGACTTAAGTGTACACTCCTCACCTTCTTAAGTCTGGCCGTTGGAAAAAACATGATAAATAGGCTACTTTAATTAAAAAGTTAAAGGAATTGGCACTGTAGCAGCTGAGCTAGCAGCCAGGAATCTGAGTCAGATACAAATTAATTTAATCAGTTTGTTCATAGAGCAGTACAAATGAATTCAGAAATTCAATATATACAGTTTATTTGGGAGTTATTAATGAGTAAAATAAAGAATGCTTTTGCCCTCAGGTTACTTACTACTTGGTTAGATTTAGACAACAAAATTAGGTTAGGTTTAGGAAAAAAAAGCTCTGAAGGCTAACTTCTTTCACATGTGTAAAATAAGAAACAGCAGTATAATATCCTCCCAACTCACTGTGTAAACACCTGTCAAAATATTATCAGTGAACTGTGTATATTTTACATTTTAATAAATAAGAAATAATTATGTACATAATTTTTCATATCAAAAGGAAATGTTCTGTAAATTCTTGGTACAGTTTACAAAATGTTTCCTATTGTGTGTGTGTGTACATATGCTTAAGTGTTACTGACTAGAAAGCAGGTAGTGTTGGAGACAAGAGGGTAGAGGCAGTTTGTGCATTTGATTCTGCCTTTGTTGCCCTAAAAAATGTTGAATTGACAGTCCACATAAAGCCATCAGGGCAGGGGGATCACCTGGGAAGGAGAGAGAAAGAAAAACTCTGTTAGCTTATGTGTTGTAAGAACCAATCAGATCTAACCAAAGCTGATTTGCGTAAAACATGACACTCACGTGTGGCACCGTTCAGGTATCGTAGTCGTATGCTGGCTCCTCCTCTCACGCTGCTCACTGCCGGGAACAGCTCCACTCTACTAGGAAGGTCTTTAAAAGCCACGCCGAGGAAGCTGCCGGCAACAATGAATCCCACAGTCCCTGCATCTGCGTCCAGGACTAGAAGGATGCGCTCAGGAATGGGGAGAGGTGTCTCTGCCGCCTTTGTGTGTAATGGAGTGGGAGACTCAGCAGCCTCAGAGTGACACCTCTTCCTCGTTCCTGGATAAAGTCCCAGAATCTGTCCAGCATGCCACAGCTGATTAGTTTTGAGCTCCCAGCCCCAGGACTGCAAGTCTCCACCCACCAGCACGTTGTACCCTGAGGCCTGCAAAGGGCAGTTCTGCCAGGAGACGCCCAAGACGGCATGACTCCCTCTGTGTTTGGGGCTCCACAGCACCTCCCAGACATGAAGCCCACTCTTCACCCCCATCTCCGCCCTCACCCCATCGCTGCTCCGCTCAACAGGTGAACGTGTCACTTCTTGTTTGCAGGCAGACAGCAGGAAGTGAGGAGAGCGGTGGACTGTGCTCCAGTGCGAGCGACCGTCTCCTGGAGTGACCGGAGAGGAGTTCAGAGTGACCTCGAGGCGAGAGGAGGTTGGAGCAGCCAGCGAAAGGAAAGCTGATGAAGAGGAGGCAGGGCTGTCGTCTGCCCTGCTGTACGGCCACACTGACAGTGAGAGACCCATTGGTACAAACAGACTATACAGCTGAACACACGTCTAAGTGTTGTCAACGAAGAACTGTGGAGAAGACAGACAAATAAACACACAAAGGAAAACACACAGTAATTTCCACAATAAAGAAGTGTGACTTTTCCAGCCTTTTAGTTTACAATTTATTTGTGGTAAAAGTCCATTATGTTGGTGACGTTTTATGCTGAAATGAAAAGGGGAACTAATGATGCTTTTTATGATTAGTTCATGTTTTTTTTTTTCATACACGCTTAAGAGTGTAAAGTTAGAGAGAGGTAAGAATATGAACAGGCAGTGCAGAGTAGAGTCAGGTATAGTGGAAAGTAGATTAAAGTAGCAGACAACAAAGAGAAGGTAGATTATAAGGAGAGAAAAGGAAAGTAAGGTGGAGTAGTGTTGTGGTACTCGAGACCGTTCTTGGTAACCGCGATGGTAAACATGGAAAAGGAGTGTTGAATAAAGATGCTTACGTTGATTTCAGCTCTTAGTTTTTGTATGTGGGTGTTTTAATAGGTATGTGGATCTTTCAGATCAGTCTGAGAAGCACCTATGATCTCGTTCCACATTTTATTGTGTGTCATGTAATGTGGAGAACTGGTCTTGGTCTTGACTCGGTCTCGCCCTACCTCGGTCTTGGTCTCGACTGGTCTCAGCCCCTAACAGTCTTGGTCTTGTCTCGGTCTCCATAAACTCTTTTCTTGGTCTTGACTTGGTTTGGGCGGTCTTGACTACAATACTAAGGTGGAGTAAAGTAGATTAAAGTAGAACATGGTCAGATGGTATAAAGTATAATAAGTAAAGTAGAGGAGAGTGGAATAAGGTAAGTCCAGGAAGGCAGAATAGATTTAGGGTAGAGGACAACAGAGAAGGTAGTGAAGTGGTGTAGAGTAGATGGATCAGTAGTCTAAGGTAATTATAGAAAAGGTGGAGTGGACTCAAGTAGAGTAGAGAAATTGTAAGGTAGAACAGAGTGAAGTAAAATAGAAGAGCAGAAAGGTAAGGTCAGTGGTAGAAAGGAAGGAAGGAAGAAGTATCACATACTTATGTAAAAGTAGCAATATCACTCTGTAAAAGTACTTACAAATTTCCCTTCAAAACTATACTTGAGTAAAAGTCAATAAGCACAATAAAAAAAAAAATATGAGTACAAATCCCCATAATTCAGGAAAAATGGTTTCTGTCAAAGTTTTATTGTTACAAATATTATTAATTATTACTGATGCATTCAAATTTAAACAGCGTTGTTTCACTGAGGCTGGAGCTAATTATAGGTGTTTTTTGTTTATAGTTTTAATTGACTGTTTTTGCATGTATACACATTTCATAGAGGTTTTCAAAAGCTTAACCTGCAAGGTAACTACTAACTATAGCTGTCACATAAATACAGTGGAGTGAAAGGTATATTGCCTCTGAAATGTAGTGGAGTATAAAGCAACTTGAAATTAAAAAGTACAAGTACCTCAAATTTGAGTAAATGTACTTTCCACCACTGGGTAAGGTAGAGTAGAAAAAGGTAAACTAGAGATAATAAGTTAGAATAGAGTAAAAGGGACCCAAGTGGCCAATAAAGAGTAAATAACCACAAACAAATAATAACAAAAGATAAAAGTCACACATTTAAAGACAGTTCAGCTTATTTAATCTACCAAAGTAAACAGTGTCCTACAAGCTTCAAATAGGTCTTTAAATCTTACCAATTGTTTTGCAGAGTCCTTCGCTGTGGTCGTCAGACGCAGACTGTTCCCAGGCATCCTGTATCTGTGTGTTTATAACTGCCTCTTATCGTGGCTATCTCACGCCTCTTATCGCTGTTCGGTAACGTAACCGAGCTGCCCTGTCCGTTGTTTTGATTAGGCCTATTGTTTTGGCACGACCTCCGAGACGGGAACAGCACACTCCATCACTGCAGATTGACGCCATTCAGAGCTACAGAGACAAGGACGAGAGATCCCTTGACGTGCTTGTAAAACACATGAGCGGTGAGAAGAAATGCCACTGTCTTCTGATAGGATGGAGGCCAAATAGATCAGATGTTTCCTTTCATATCTTTCTCCTCTTTTTTTATCTTGTTCTGTAATGAATGTAAACATAAATGGCGAAACACAAGAATAGGATCAAACTCGGGCTTTTAATGAACAAGAAGAGAAAAACAAAATAGATCCCAAATCGGCTCATTATTCCAGAATGCGCATGCGCAAAAACATAAGTAGTGGATTGGGCATTAAAACCCTGGACGCTGTCTTATAGACAATGTTGACACACAGGTCCGAACCTTTTGGGCAGATTTAAACAGTGATGAAAGAAGTAGCCTACACAATAAAAGTAGCAGTACCACAGTGTAGAAATATTCTGTAACAAATAAAATTCCTGCATTTGAAATCTTACTAAAGTAAAAGTACATTAATTCCCAGAATAACTAGTCTCAAAATATAGGCTTCTTAAAGTACTGAAAGAAAAAAGCATTCTTAATGCACAATGGTCTCTTTCACAATAATGTATCTTATCATACTGGATTATAACTAGTGATGCATTAATGTGTACATCATTGAATGTTGCAGCCAGTAGAGGTGGGGCTAATTTCACCACTTCAGTGCTAGGTAGCTTAACAGTGTATCTTTACTAGCTGATTTATATTTTGTATGTATGTATGTATGAGTGACTAAACAAGGTAAGTGTATCCGATCTGTCTAACCTTATTGAGGGATACAGCCCACTAATGTCACATCTTGTTTGTGAGGCCCCCCCCCACACACACACAAAAACCTCCCCCCAATTTATAACAATACAAAAATTTAGGCTATTTATAAACTGAATTATGTCATGTAATCTTGGTGAGGCCTCAGAACTACACAACAAATGTTAGGGATAATCATTGTTTATGTTAAGTGTTTCTGAAAAGAAGAAAAAAAGAATATTGCTTGTATATCAGAATGGCGGATTTTAAAAAAAGCTTACAAATAAACATGTTAATATCTTGTGTGTTTAATCTGTATAAAAAACTAAGTGTAAAACCATTATTCACTTTTTTATGAATGAGTATGTGGCAGACTATTTCTTGACTGGGGACAGTAACTTCCTGAAGTCTTCTCATCTTACCTCCACCAGAAGGTGAAGAGTCATAAAGCTTGGACTCCATGAGGCTGGCATGCTCCACCATACAGGTCTCTAGAGTATGGGTGTATAGCCTACTCTAGATGGGAGTGGATCTGGTAGAGCAAGTTCCCATTGGACATTTTCTCAGTGGATATTACAGCAAACACCTGCACCTGCTTTCCATTTTTCAGCCACTTCACTGATTCGTTTGGGATAAAAGTTGTACACACCAAAGACGAGCATGCCTGGAGGTTTGCTTTTGCTGCCTCAACTTACCTCAGCCTGATATACGGTTCGACTAGAAATACACAAATCACAAAAATATTAACATGAAATAACACATCCTTTAATCAGTGTAGATTTTATGCACACTTGATTTGAGAAATTTCTTTGACTCACCTGGCTTCATAAACACATTACAAGTGTGAGTTATGTGGTTTTTGCAATTCTCAGTTCAATCCCCTTCTCTGTTGTGCAACAATTTAAGGATTTTTGTTGTAGGTATCTGTACTTCTTGTACTAGGTGTCTATCCTTTGCTTTTTCTGTAATGCCATTAAATTTTCTTAAAGTGCTGATGTATTGTCCTATAAATATCTTGTCTCAGTACTACTGCTCCTGGGAAGAGCATCATGAACGAATTGTTGGAATTAAACTGACTGTTTGAAAAAGGAGAGGATCTGCAAAATGAATTCAAGTATTAGTTGTCTTCATAGTTTAATTTGATAAATATGAATATGCATTGGTGTGGTAGAAAGCAATTTACCTGCTCAACTAGATCTTGGTAAGAAGGGCAAAAACTAAACCCCGAGTGAAAAGACTGAACAAAGCCAAGACGTATACGCTGTTCACTAGTGGTACACATAGGTTCAGAGGTCTGGAGTATAATAGATTCAAGTGATAGTTATAGTCTTGATGGCACAAAACCTTCTGTTCCTGCCCAAACAATGCTATTAGCAGCCTTTGGTTTGGTTACATAATGTAATTGTACTAATGTGACCAGCAACACAAATAAACAACAGCAACTACTTGAATTTCAATGTTTCTTACCCACTTTAGACAATAAGATTAACAGCAGCAGGCCAAAAAAAAAGCTAAAGTTTAAGGTTTGTTAACATGTTAATAGGAATTTATCTCTGTTTGGTTGGAATTAGACAACGGAATCTGTAACATACCAATAAATATCAAAATGTTATAATCCCATGAGCTTTAGTAATTTTTTCTCAAATATCAATTATGCTATAAGTATAGTTTGATTATCCCTAAGACTGCAAAACAAAAAAGGTTAGTCCTAATATTAGTGCACTTTTTACTGGTGAATGTATGGTTGCTTGTCTGACAAACTAAGGTACAGGACAAAATGTGTGTTCATGTTTGTTGTTGATTTAGATAAGAAGGAAACTTTATCAGCTACTGTGGGTTGTTCAAAGTCTGTGGCTCTTGTGTTGTGTAGCAGGCTGCCATCTGGCTTAGTGTGACCTTCTGGTCTGCTTTTGATAAAATGTTGACTTTACATCTACGTAGACAAACTAATGGTATTCTGTGGAAGAAATATACAGCCTGCTAAGGGGGTGCCATAATGAAACAAAAAAGAGTCAAAACAAGTGATTTACAGAGCAAATTTGTATTCCGTATGAGATTTTTCTTTTAAAATTTCAGGACTGCAGTACTGCATATACATTTTCTAACAATAAAAAAGTCCAAAAATACTTTGCTACAAATTATAATTTAATTTAAATATGTTTACATTCAGGTCTTTAGACCTTCATTGTCCAAAACAAAATATACATTTAAAAAATAAAATACATTTACGACAGTATAGTATTGGACAAATCATAGTACTTAAATAACTTAAATAGTAGCCCATATATTGCCTTCTTGTCCGGGTTTTTGAGACAAAGTCAAGTTCATTCAGAATTAAACAAACATTCCCATTTTTGATCATCTGAACACCAGAATATTTCAGGGTTTAGACATGGAAATAAGATCTCTTAACTCATAATATATTTGTACAGTGCGAAAGAAACTTTAGGTTTGACAAGATATTATATATAGAACTATATCCCCCAAATAAAATGAAGCTTGCTTTTCATAAAGTTAACATTACATCATCATTCCTATAGATACAGCATAAATAGGTACATAAACCTACCCAGAATTGACTGAACCTATTTTGCTCATTGAGAACTTTGTGAATTTCTCAACATAGAAACATTCTCATTCATTCGATTCTCTGCCATTTTGGTTTCCATGATCAGATCATCAATTCACATTTCCACTTGTGTTACAAATCTTACAGCCAAAGTGGCAGGCTACCTTAACTTGCTGGCACCAACACCCGCCCTAGAACAAAAACAAAAAGCAAATTCACACACAATTGATTTTGAGTCACAAGAATTTGGTGTGCTGTAGCTAAAGTGCTACTGTACATTAACTCTGATGGATATGTATGGATGTGGCTGTGTTTACTTTCATGCTCTATGAAATTTAAAGGATAATGAATCAATAAATCTGTTCCGACAGAAATGCATTGATGCAGGGACGTCTATGTATTGCACTTCAGACAACTCCCAACAGTGATGCAATGAAACAGCTTTTTTTCAGGTGGTAACACTACCCGAATAAAGAGTAGGCCTACTAATTGCGTGTGCATTTTAAAATATTCCACGTAAAAATTACTTGTTGTGTGTGATTTACTAAGAATTATTGCGTAGATGACAACAGGAGCAAACACAATGGAGGTGGGAGTAGGCTATTTAAATGAGGTTTTTGCGTGTTTTAATGGTTTCCGCCATGGAGAGTCGGAAGGGAAAGCAGCCACAGCGTAAAAACATTGTTTTGTTTCATTCAGTGCGTCCCGAGTATGTGAAAATCGTATACCTGGCCATCCTGCCTAAGATTGGACAGAACACCTGAAAAACTGCTTTGGGAAACCCCAGCGGAAAAAGCTATGCTGGAATGACCCAGACGTGAGGAAAAGTCAGCAGATCGTGCTTCATCCAGCCAGAGGGAACTATGACCGACCGTCCGCAGCGTGGCCGGTCGCTCCGCGATCTCCTATACCTGGTCATGTAGGCTACGCCCGCAACGCCCCACTCCCTCTCCCACCTACAGTGGGTTGTGCCGCTATTACGACCGGCGCACTGTTAACAGTTGGTGGTCGTTTCCTCTGGCAAGAAGGATTTTATGCATGATCCATGCGGGCTCTCCGCAGCGCCACGCAACTTTCTGAATTCTTCCATCTCACGGACAAAAGTCAGGTTGAAACGAAATTTGCTTTATTGGCATGAATGTTAACAGTACTGCCAAAGTTAAAGGAAAATACAAAAAAATAAAAATAAAAATAAAAATAAAATTCTATTCATACAGTTCATCGAATAAATAAAATAATTGTATTTATAGAATAAAATATCTAGGCTAATATTATTAATTTCTCTACGTTTTCTTTCATTACGCCTGTCTCTTTCTGGCAACACAGCAGCCATCTCTGCGCAGTACTTGATTTGCACCTGCATATTCATTAAGGTAGCCTATAGTAGGAATGAACAACAGGTGCTATCTTACACTTTTGGAAGACGTCATTCTGCCTGCACCGTTAGTAGATCAGCTTACATGTTAATTTGCTGGTGATATCGAGTTTTCACACGTTTTTACTCACGCAAACCTTTAGTAAATCTGGCCCATTATGAGACACGTGCAGAGGGGGGTGCAATGGGTGCTTGAGCTCCTGCCCTTTTGCGCTTTGATGCCCAAGGTGCCCTTTTGCCAATAACATTTTTTGTCTATTTCTTTATTTTAAAAATTAAAAATTACAAAGGTCCTTTTGTGAAGGCCCAATCAAACTATTGAAATAAAATGAATGAATAATTCTTAATTTCGCAGTAGGCTAAATAAAATGACCCACATTATGACCTTTCACCTGATCACCTCATCCGTGACGAACCCTCTCGTTCAGACACCGTTAGTGATTCAGCAGCACTGCGGACACCTGCGATTCCGCCGGTAAGAGGGGTTTACCTCAATGTGTTTGTTGTGGGTTGTTTGATTTATGTTGCCAGAAAGACGCAAAGAGAGCAGCACAGTAGTTGTATATTGTTGTGTGTTGCCTGTAGAAGTAACGTTAGCTGCCGGCTAACACTGTGCCAACAGCTAACCTTACTTATATACACAGATAAACAAAGGTGCTCTGTTCACTTCGTTCTTGCTGTTTGAGGGAGAAAAGTTTCACAGGCGTTGCGAGGTCTGGTATTTTTTATGTAATTTGACTAAAAACCATTCACTTGAACTAGGATTATTACAGTAGCTTAATAAAAAATGTAGTGTGCCTTAAAATAATTATAATACCATTGGTAATACCAACGTTGATACTGATACTTATTCCCTCGGACTTATAGCTTACTTATCAGCCCGTTTTTAAATGATCATTTCATTCAGAACAGTATTGGAATATAGTTATCCTGCATTTTAACTGTTACAAAAGCAAACCTACTATATTAACTAAATAACTGGAAATACATATAAAAATGTCACTGTTAATGTAAAATAAATAATATTCCTGACATTAAAGTAAAGACTGAAGAAGAAATGGCCCTATTAGGTTTCAGACAAAGGTATGAAATGTTAATGTGAAAGGTAAATTCTACTCTGTCATGGTTATTATTTATTTATTTAGATTTATTATTAGACAGATAGTCAATCAAAATCAAAATACATCTCAGATTCACAATGCAATATATAAAATCATTATCAAAATATTGCCTGTAGACACACACACACGCACCCCTGTCTATAGATTAGTATCACTCTTACCCCTGCCTTGGCCAACTTCGTCCTTTCTCCCAGTACCGTTTCCTTCTCAGATTATTTCCCACACTTTTTTGAACCTGGTATCTTATTTTCTCTACCTGCAGCTCTTGGTGTGCAGCAGTTTCTGTGAGCATCTCCCTGTTATTTTCTCGTAGCAGTCAGCCTTGGCAACGGCTGCAGCACTACAGCAGGTCAGTTATAGTGAGCCAGTCCCAAACACTGTCAGCAATCTTTACATCTTGTCACGGGCTCATATTTGTTAAATTATCTAATATATATCCTTTGTTTGTTATAATAAATCTAGTCACAGATCACCTCCAGTAGTATCAGCAGCAACAACAACAGCAGCAGCAGCATCCCCAGCAACCCCTCAACAACAACGGTTCCCTATAAGTTATGTCAGCCCACAATGTTTTAAAGCTAGAGCTTGGTATTCCCTGTGTTTCTTTTTAAAAACTGTGTCACAGCATTTGCTGATGTATCGATACAGAAGCATCAGTATACGCATATCAGCAAGGAATACATAACAATATATTTCTGGATCAACATTTTGACAACAGCCCTATTTAAATCCTTGTTCCATGTGCCCCTTTTATACTTTGAGCACCTGCCCTTCCAAAGGTCTCTGCACGGCCCTGCCCATTATGTATAATCAAATCAGAATGTTGTTTCTGTGTTTAAATGGGGCCCAATACACACTGTTTGCCTGAGTTGTTAACATTGGAGGTTTAAAGAATTTTATTGAGAAGACTTGTTTGGTTAACTTGGTCTTGTCTCTCACCAGTGGTGTTCTTCTTAGTGTAGCAAATCAGCCCAGGAAGAAAAAACACGAGACCCAGCAGTAGCCCTGCTGACCCGACAGCAATTTTGTTCCTCTCTGACTCAGGTTTTGGGTCTGAAAACACATGAATCACAAACACTATTTCAGATTTACTGTCTGTTAATGATTATTAAGTCTTCTAATCCATTCAAATAAAATTGTCTCTGTTAAAGTGGAATGTTTTTATTGTTAACAACCAAATGAGGTACAATAAACTTTTGCATTTATAACATTTAAGTTAATCCAATCTAACCTGTCAAACCACACACCTCCTGTCACTCTCTTACCCCAGTCATAAAGCTTGGGCTCCATGAGGCTGGCGTGCTCCACCATACAGGTGATTTTCTCTCCTGGTCTGGGTGTAAACTCCAGATAGGAGTGCATCTGGTAGAGCCAATTCCCACTGGGCAGTTCATCAGTGGACGTCACATCAGATGCCACCTCCTTTCCGTTCCTCAGCCACGTCACCCTGATTTGCTTGGGGTAAAAATCGTACATACTGCAGACAAGCATGCCAGGATGTTTGCTGCCTGCTGCTTCAACTGACCTCAGCCTGACAGAGGGCTCAACTAGAAAATATTAACCCACAGACAAAACAAGTTGGTGTGAAATTATAGACTTTATCTAATCCACTTGTTATGCACCAATAACGTGACAGTTTCAGTAACACTTAAGATTTCATTAGCATGCTTTTCAAAGAAAGTTGGTAAAAACACAGAAAAATGTAGGCCTATAGGCCTAATTAATGTTCAGAAATATAGCACCTGTGCAATATGATTGCCTATTGTTGCCTGTATCTTTTGTTATCTTGACATGGACCTGCAGCCAACCAAACGACTTGCTTTGAAATTAATTGTTAATCAAATTTTTCATAAAGCATATGAACATAATTTTTTACAACGCAAATAATTATTGTGGCAATAACACAGGAGCAACGCGGTGTTGCATGAAGTAGGGCAAACGGAGACATGCTCGTGACGCGTAAAAAGCCCACCATGTGTGTTTATCATCCATTTACTCTCCCTTTTTCTCAAATATATTTGATAGCTTGTAGCCTGCTGAGTGAAAGCAACATCAGTTTCATGCATGTTATAGTCGATACTTCCACTAAGTACTGTCTTTCTTTCTTTCTACCACAGGAACCACAAGAGGCGACGATGTGTAAGTAAGCCGCTCTTCCAGAAGAGCCCCCACCCTGAGTCTCGACCCCCAGGTTCCTAGCTACACCGGCCACTGAACCCTCAACAACCCCCTTTTATCCTTCCGTCCTCGACCCCTCCGTCATAAATAGCCTACTCTTATCCGAATAAACTGCTTTATACCTCATGTTGGTGTGGTCCTTGTTAGAATAGGCTACGCCATTGATTAGGCCTATAATTGAAAGTATTTCTGCAGCTTGTACAAGGGCGATAGGAGGCTGCTTTCCAACACTGCCGCCACCAGTGGCACAGTGTACACTTACTGGATTTGGTTTACATTAGTGGGACAACCAAACGTTTGAGTTAAAACATATTTGACTGAATTTGTAAAATGTTGGCTGGAGCGCACCAGTTAAACCTCTCCTGTCGCAGTTAGGCAGGAGAGTATCCTAGACAACAGACCAACTGTAACGAAGGTATGATCAAATGGCAAATATAGCGAAGGTAGTAAAGTAGGCTATATTACTGACCCAAAAATACTCGCGTTAAAAGTAAAAGTAGAAGGTTATCCAGTTCAAAACGGAGCGTGACAATGTAGGCAACCTTTCTAACTCGCTTTTTTCCTAATTCCCACCCCTGCTGACGTGCGGTTTAGTATCTCTTAAACACAAAGTTCTTACCTCCTTATTTCCTAACCTCTCTTCACTTGTTGTAGGCTGTGTAGGATGTGTGATTTATAGTAATCTACCAAGTAGGCCTAAGTTCATATTTAGGTCTCTATAAATGGTAAACTGCACTTCAAGCAGCAATCGCTGCCAGAGTTTCAACTGCGATTACCAAAAACATCACCTGGTTTTAAAAGGTTATCAGATGCCATTGAGATGTAGGTTTTGCAGCGCTCCAAATTCTGCTTTTCTTGTTCCAAATAAGCTGGGTTTTTGTTGAGGCCATCTGCAATTTCTTTTGTTTTCTTCGTGTAGCCAATGAACTTTCCCAAAGTGCTGTTGTACTGACCCAGAAGCACCTTATTAAAGTAGATTTGCCCCAGATAAACACAATCATCAGAGGAAGTAAACTGCCAACGCATCAAACAGTAACCGAAGAGAGCGTCTGTAACATAAAGCCAAACAAGAAGGTTTGATTTAGAAAGTTGTGAATTTTCTATTTTCATGAAACTCACAGCGGCTACAACATATGATGCAGCAGCTTTTTTATTTAGGCTATATAGTAGCGACAGCATATTTGGTATTGTGAAAAAGGCTATGTGCTTTTTTGAACGGCAACATAATTAAAAACAATAACAGCTTTTATTTAATGTTACTTACCTGCTCTTGAAAATAGTAGGAGCAGACACAGCAGTAAAAATGTGTGAATACGCATGGTGACAAATGAAAAGACATCCAGAAAATCGGAAGGTCACGCTGAAAATGAGGAAGTGAAGCAGCAGGCAGATTGTTAAAGGTTTTAGGTTTTGTTTAGTTATTTCCTGTTTTATGCTGAAAGTTCACTGTCATCATGTGACATGTTTTGTTTTATGTCCTGTAATTGTGTGCTTTGAGGTTTGGCACAAAGTATGTGTGCCACATAATCTGCACTGCAGGTCTAAAGTGTTCCAGTCATCTGTAGTGACACCACTTACATTCATTTTGTCCAATTTCATATTAACTATTAAAGTGATTTATAATTTGATTTCAAAATGCTAGTTGGGTACTTTGGTGCTTAATTGAACAAAAGTAAAAGTATACATTATGCAGCAGAATGGCCCATGTCAGAGATTTATTATATATTATTATTGCATTTTCATTATTGATGCATTACGATGAATTTTAAATTTTGTAGCTGATGTAGAAGCTTAGTTGAATTACTCTTGGAGAGTTTCATCTGTGGCATTGCATCATATTTTATAAACTCATCATATGTTTTAGTATGTGAAATCTAATCTGTAAAGTTATCAGTAAGCAAAGCTGTCAGATAGATGTAGTCGACTAAAAAGTACATTTCCCCTCTGAATTGTTGTGGAGTAGAAAGGGGTTGTAGCCAATTATGTGGTCTGGTCGCTGCCACACCGACCACTGGTCTCTGCCTTGCTGCTCCACGAACCACTGGTCGCTGCCTTGCTGCCAGGCTGCCAGGCTGCCACAGTCTCTGAGGGAAGGCTACTTTCTGGTCCTTGTCACACAAACTGTTGCTGTACACATTAAAAAAGGTCAGTTTCAAGTTTTTATACAGTCTATGGTTCCAAAGTAGACCTATGATGATTCATGGTTCAATTAAATTTTTACTCCTGTTCTTGATTTAAAGCGAGACTACTGCTGAACAGCAGTCGATGTGGCCACAAATGACAACCACAGAATAATGTTAATATCTAAAATTAGCAGCAGCACAAGTACAGAAAAGTTAGTAAACTGTCTATTTAAAATTAGCTACATTAGCCACCAAAAACTACTAGTCACACCAGACCAAGCCAGGCTGTCGCAGCAAAATCCGAGTGTACTGAGTTGCTTAACTCAATACTTAGGCGTCCTGTGGCTCAGGATCAAGCAAGTTGCCCATTTACCAGAAGGTTGGTGGTTCAATCCCTGGCTTCTCCTTCTTAGGCTCAGTGTGTGGATGTAGTGTAAAAGTGGTTGAAAAGACTAGAAATATATTTGCTATACACTTACTGAAAGCATGCATATAATTGCTTATGAATTCAGCTTATCTTTAAGAAGAATGTGTTATTTAGGCCTACATAATCTTGCTTTAAAGTTAAATATAATGTGGTGTCTGTTCTGTGTATAAAGGTATGTCCACATGTAAATGATGATGTTGTAACACTGCTGATGAAGGATGAGAAATATATTGTTTACAAATGTTTTTCAACAGTGCAAATGTTGCACAGTTGAACTCTTGGTTTGATTCACTCTTGCATAAGCCATAAATAGAAATAATAACCACTGCATAGCCACGGCCTGATTCATACCTTTCTTTGAAACCAAATCATGGTTTAGAAGATGATAAACTGTGCAAATTTCTGTTTGACTCAAATATAATTGTTGGTGTAAGATTCACATTTGGCATCATTATCATCACCAACATCATCATCACCATCATCATCATGTGTATAACCTCTCTAAAACAGAGAAGTTAACGCCTATTGTGTCCCTTAACCATTAAAAAAGTTCCAGCTGCAACTCCCAACAAGCCCAGAGTCAGGCCCACTCCACAGAAAATATCTGGTCCAAGACTGGGATGCCTAAAGTCAGGTTCTGTGAAAAAATGGGGGAAATGCATCATTACAAACACAAAAAAGTATTTTACAGCAAATCATCATATTATTTTTACATTTGGTTTCACAAGAATAAACAATCACCCCAGAGCCTGGTTTTAGGCCTGTCCAGGGCTGAGTGCTCCACAGTGCAGCTGTAAATGTCCCCCTCCCTTGGTGTGAATGTCAGGGTAGAGAACTGGTGGAAGGTTTGATCATTATTGGGATAGTACTGACTGAGTGACACCCCCTCCGACACCGGACAACCATTTTTGGTCCAGCTGACTTTGATGTCAGGTGGGTAGAAATGATTCACAAAGCAGGTGAGGCTGTTTTCAACTCCCAGCTGAGCTTCTTCCGCGGGGTAGAGGATGCTCTCTGGAGGGTCTTTAGTGGTTCAGAAGACAATTAACAACCTTCATCAGCATTTCATCAATCACGCCAATACAGAGTAAAATATTGGGATTAAGATACCTTTTTCTTCCTGTGGATTGTTTTCCTCCAATTTGCCCAATGCCACAGCAACTGGACACACGTGCTGGCCTTTCAAAGCATTGCCATATAGACGCCTATCATCATATATTTCACTTGGGTTATTCACAAGAAATCTGGGTACAGTGTAAACAACTTCACGTCTTTCAAAATCCACGTGAAAAATCTCCTCAGCATCAAATTCAAGCTGTACCTCCGTTGTGCCATTGTCAAAGCAGCCCACAAGATAGACAAGTTCATGGGGAACTGAAAAACAATACAGATGAAAAGAAGGACATGAATAAATGTATAACCTATAACGACAGCAAGTGGCTTCTGTTGGATCTTGTCTGTTTTCTTCAGGCATTTGTATTCTCTACAGACACTTAAAAAACTTTCCCATAAAAAGGTTTCCATTAACTTACTAGAACAAAAAACAAAGTAGTCAGTTTAAAATTATTCTTACTTTGTGAAAAGGCACAGAAGGTGTTGAACATCAGAATCACGAGTGAAGACTTCTTCATTTCTGAGCTGCAGTCCAAACAAATATGTTCATATCTTTCGCCAGTCAGTTCCAGGCAACACAATTGCATGACCACATCTTGTGTTAAATTGAGGAAGTCAAATATCGGGTCCTTTATGAATCATCATGTGCTCTATCCACACTTCATCAGAAGCAGTCGACAATGTATATTGATAGCTTCCTTGTTATGAAAATGTTGACGGGAACATAGCGGTCTAACCTGTTTGTTCTGATTCTCCAAAGTGGTTCAGAATGGGCAGAGTGCATATTTAAAGATTTTGCGCAGGCATCATTGTCCAAGTAAAAGTACAGGATGAGGCCATCTGAGAGATCAGTTTCTGTTTCAGCAGTTTTGTTGAATGGTTATCTGCCTCTGGGAGTTCAAACATGCTTTTTTGAAGCAGAGGATATATTTTATTTTGAAACTACCCTTGTTTTTTTTATTTGATAAAATTATATTACCAAACCTTTTGCGTTATGAAGCAAACTCACTATGCTGTCTTTAAAGTTGAGTTAATAGTTGAATAAGTTAAAAAACTGAGCTTAAAAAGTGAAATTACAGGGGTTCGTGCTGGGTGCTGCCCTCTACTGGTCAGAGTTAATAATTCAGTGAAGTACACTCTTCAATTGAACACAGAAAGGCAAGAAAGACAGTGCTGGATTCATGTTGCTGAATGTATTTCTAATCCGCTTCTGCCTTGGAGACTATGTGCCTGTAAGTAATGTGTAAATAATTCACTTCACTTGCATTTGTAAGGAATGTCATGTTAGAAACGTTTTTATGCTTTGGTAAAACATGTGCTCTGTTAGCTAGCAGGTAGTAATATATATTCTTATTCTGTAATGTTTCAGTTTTACAAACCAAACCAAAAGAGGAAATAACTTCAGTAAAATACAAGAAAAGTCAAGCCTTGTGTGTTTATTGGAGGACTTTTGAATGTTAACTGGGTGTCTAGCTTTGCAGTGTTTGATAACAACGCCCTCTGTCAGGAAATAACATTTTACCAATGTAATAATAATGTAATGAAGAGGTAAAAAAATCAATTATTGTATTTAGTGTAATTCTAAGAACTTACCCATGTTGGGCTACAGGTGGCACTGGCGGTCTGCAAATGCTGCAGCTAGGGACCATAGTATATAAAGCTGTGGACCCATGCATGCTACACAATTTTTGGATGGGATGATGAGGATGGCATTATGGAGTGAACTGGAGTAAAAGTGTTCGGGTGCAGAGATGAAACAAAGAGCATGGCAAAAGAAAGAGCTACTTCATATCAGTGACGAAATAAATCCAGGACTAATCTAAACTTGTGTGCAAAACACTTACCTGCTATACAGCCAGATTGTAACTCATCAATAGAGGCCAATGTTCTTTTATAAGTTTTTTTGACACAAACACAAGAGCTAGCAAGGAATTTAGTGGACTCAACTTAATACAGCAGTTTGAGTCATTTCAATTAAAAAGTTTTATTTTTCAGCCCAATCTAGAGTAATCTCCATGATCTTTCCTAGTAGTCTAGCGCCACCAAATGTTTATTCATCCAGTTATTCTCAGGGAGAAAATAATGACATTGCCATCAGCCTCAGCTGTAGTTGTGTTTAATGGTAACATGCTAAACTAAGATGGTGAAAATGGTAAGTATGGTAGTCTATTACCCGTATGTTAGCATGCTGACATTAGCATTTAGCTCAAAGCTGCTGTGTCTATGTACAGGCTCACAAAAACAGCTGGCTAGCAAAAAAGAGGCTAAAAGGCTCAAGTTTGAGGGGAAATGCAGAAGGTGGGTTTGTCACTATGAGCTCAAATAACTTATTAGAGAAGAGCAGATATTAACACTGGCCACAACTGTCACACTCTGCCTGTCTGCCATGCTGTGTTTTGCACTTTTGCGTTTAGTTAGCGTTATTTTGGTCTGTTGGGTTTTGGGGGTTTGTCTTGTCTGTCGTCTAGTGTTCGGTAACCCTTGTCATGTCTGTTACCCCAGTGATCCCTCTGCGTGTCTGTCTCTGTTTTCCCCTGCTCTCTCTCCCTGCCTGTGACTCGTTAGCCTCATGTCTTTCACCTGTGTTGCTCCTGCCCTGCTTGTTAGTCCTTGTGTATATATACCTGGTGTTTCTGTCTTGTCTTTGTTGGGTCATTGTATGTTGTCACCCTGTGTAGCAGTGTGTTTCTCGTGTCGTCAGCCTCACTCGTCATGTTTCCCTGCTTGTTTTTGGATTTTGGTTTTCTGTTGGACAACCTTTGTTTTGGACTTAGTCTTTCAGCCACTCAGTCTGTAAGTGTGCTCACCTTTTGTTTAATTAAAACCACTGAACTATACCTGCTCCGCTCTGTGTCCTGCGTTTGGGTCCTCCAACCTGCTTCACCACACACGAATCGTGACAACAACATTGTAGAGGAAACTACTGTGCTCTGAGATTTTGGTTTTTATTGTTCAACACTGCTTTGAGCTGTTAGACTCATCTATTGTAGTCAAATAAACATATGATTTCAAACACTTATGTCACAGAGAAAATAATCATCTATTGGAATAAAAATTAGCACATAGATTGATCCATTGGATTTGGTCAGGACAGGATTCTGAATGATTCCCAACAGGCTTCTCCGACATAAAGTGTGTGCTCTGGATATAAACCCTGTAGGAAGATAGATTATTGAATCAGATTAATGACATTATGCCACAAATGTGTCAGACAAACTGACAGAAAGATTATGTTAAATGTAAATGCCTACCTCAGTTGTTGGCACCAAAACCCGCACTGCAATCAGAAAAAACAAACAAACAAAGTGTGACATTGAGGTCCGAGCTGCTATCATTAGAAGTAAAACTTGTTAATATTAATTAGAATTCATCTCTCACCAGTAGACTTCATCTTGTAGTAAATCAGCCCAACAACTACAAAGACCAGACCCAACAACAGCCTTGCCATCCCAACAACAATCTTATCCAACCTTGAACTCAGGCATGGGCTCTGAAAAGACAATTATCACAAACCTTGCATCATATTTCCATTAAATGATATCACAAAGGTTCTTCTACCATTCCTCTACCTACTTTTGCTGCACGAGCAAGGATAAGGAGTTGAAATTGTATAATGCTATCATACCTAAAATACTTAATATACTTAATATATATTATAAGGTGGAAAAATATTCTTTACGTAAGTGAAAATAACAATACCACAATGTAAAAATACTTCATTACAAGTAGAAGTCCTGCATTCATTTATTCATTTGTACTTAAGTAGAAGAACATAAGTATCATCAGCAAAATGTACTGTGTATCTATCAAAAGTAAAAGTACTCAGTATTCAGAAAAATTCCCCCCATGAGTGTTAAATTATTAAATATTCTATTAGTGGATAATTATTACTGATACTTTGATTTACTGTGACGTTGGTCATTTTAACAATTTTATATAAAGTGTGGGAGTTTATTTTATAACAACTAACCATATTAAATGTTTAAGTCAATATAAAGTTGATCTTTGCATGTAAAATCTAAGAATAAAAATACCTCAAAATTTTACTTAAGAACCATACTTAAGTAAATGTTCTTAGTTTCATTCCACCACTGGTAATATATCATTGCTTGAGGTAATTTTACTTCAGCTATCCACATGCACACTCTCTTACCCCAGTCACAAAGTTTGAGCTCCAGGAGGCTGCTGTGCTCCACTATGCAGGTTATTTTCTCTCCTGGTCTGAGTGTAAACTCCAGATAGGAGTGCATCTGGTAGACCCAATTCCCATTGGACAGTTCATCAGTGGACATCACATCAGATGTCACCTTCTTTCCATTCCTCTGCCAAGTCACCCAAATTTGTTTGGGATAAAAGTTGTACACACTGCAGACGAGCATCCCTGGATATTTGCTGCCCGCTGTCTCAACTGACCTAAGCCTGACGGAGGGCTCAACTAGAGGAAAATAACCCACTGTAACCCTTCTGTTTAAGTAAATTATTCAAAAGAGCTAACCCTGCTTAGAGAGGGCTGTGTGCTTAGGCAGGTAACTGGATTTGGATTTGGTCTCTTGACACTAATGAAAACCTATGTAATGAATATTATCATCATTTTCTGCTAATATAGCCCCCTAAATCTAACACACTGAACCATCATGGCAATTTCCATCATATTCTGTGATAATCACCTGGGTTCAGAAGGCCACTATAAAACACTTGGGCGTTTCTTTTACAACGTTCTGTTTTCCATTTCCCTAAATGCACAAAACTGGGATTCCTGCTAAGAATATCTGCAACTTCTATTGCTTTCTTCGTGTAGCCGATCAATTTTCCCAAAGTGCTGTTGTACTGGACCGCCAGCATCTTGTTGAAGTAGTACTGCTCCAGGTACACAGCATCATGACCGTCATGGGAACTAAACTGGCAACGAACCAAAGCGTGACCATAGAGAGCATCTGTAAGAATAATTCCAACAGATATTAGCTGATATGTATAGTTAGTTGTATTCTCTGGTTCATTTGATATTCTCAGTCATCAGACTCTAAAGCTAAACATGTCAACAAAGGTTTGTCTGTCTCTTGTCTCTCTGTGACTTTCACATTCTAGCAAGTATTTGACTAACGTATTTACTTGAACAGCAACACAAACAATGAGATTCTGCTTTCATATGTCTTACCGTCTCTTGAAAATGCCAACAGGAGAGTTAAGAAGCTGAGAGCATGAGACATGTTGTCATGTCAATGAGAGCTATCCAAACAGAAACTTGAAACAAGGAAGTTCAGGTTCAAATTTATAAACAGCATTTTTTTAGTGTGGTTAGTTTCAATGATCATGTTGTTATTTTGAGTCATATGTCTACTTCCCTTCTCTTTGCCCACGCTACAGTGTAGTTAGTATACTAGTTGTTGAAGAGGTACTTGGATCCTTTTTTATTTCGTAATAGTGGCAAACTAAAGTAACTTACTAAAGCAACACCTGCATTAAAAGTACTGGCGGCTAAACTAACTAGGTTATTTCTGCGAAAAGTAAGTTTCACTCTCCTGGCAGGCCAATCAGCACACCACCACACAAATAATGAACCCCTACAGTTCATAAACCCTGGCTCTGCACTTCATTCTTCGCCAGATCATCAATTTTCTGGTCCGGGACTAGGCGAGCTTTGTTTTGTCTGCCTTGTTCTTTTTGCCCTGTCTCCACCTGTCTGTCCAGATCACGCTGCCTACTTGCTCACAAGGCTTTCCCGGCTTGAGATTCCCCTTGCACATTATCTGTACTATTATCAGTAAATCCCCTGTAATTTCTCCTTTTACTGCTGTCTCAGTGTCTGCATCTGAGTCCTCTGAACCACAAACCTTAACAACAGGTCCCTCAAAACTGTCAGTGCAGTAGCCTACATAACAACATGCTTACTTACTTTGTACTGCTGACATCTGGTTTTTATAACAACAATCATAATTAAAATGTAATTTTCACAAATAACTACTGATTTCGTCACAAATCTTATTGTAGAATTAAGTTATCTGTTGTGGTTATCTGTAATGGCTCCACACTTGTTACTATGTTACGCACTACTAGTAAGGTTGCTCTTTTATTTCATAAGCAATGTATGAGTTGCTATTATTGGTTGGCCGCAGAAGGTTTTAATGTGTGAGTAATAATCATCCACTGCACATTTAAAATGCTTCATTGATTTTATTTTTAAAGTGTTCTTTTACTGCTTCACTCAAATAGTAGCAGTTTTAAGCATAGTGAATCATCTAATTACATTTGAATAATAAAACAATATAAAGCACATGTATGTATAAACTTTGACATTCCTTTCAGATATCAAAGTAGCAAAACAGAAGCAAACATTGCCAAGCATTTGAATAAGTGACTGTGGTAACCCAGAAGCTCTCCTTCTACTGTACATTGCTGGTTAACATATTGTCCCATTATCATATAAAGGCAGAGAACTTACAGGCAGAAACACCAGTAAATAAATCATAAAGGTATTACATCTAATGTTCATTCAGACGATAAGGCTCTTTCACACTCTTGATAAAACTCAATTTCAAGTTTCCCTCCCTTTTGTACCAACTATTTTTAAGCCAATTTAACAGAACATGCAGGTTTACATGGATTATCTCCTTGGAGTGTTTCATTAAAGAGGTCATATTATGCTTTTTAGCTTTTTCCATCTCCTTTATTGAATTATATACCTTTTCTGTGCATGTAATAGGTTTGCAAAGTGAAAAAGTCCACCCCAAAGGGAGTTCCCATCTCCCACAAAAAACACTGCTCTGAACTGCCTGAAAACAGCTCGTTTGTAGTTCACAAGAAAATACACGTCATAATGCTCACCAAGCGGCTAGTCAGGCACGCCCTCAAAAAAAAAAAAAATATAATAATAATTATATATAGTGAGCTGCAGCACACAGTAACAAGACATCTGCCTGCTGCCTCTCCTCTCCCTTCCAAACACTAACTACCCTCTGGCAGTGAATGGACGTAAAGTTGTTACTTTGATGTAGAGACAGTGCTCAGTTTAAACTTTATGGATGAAAGAAACATTTGTTAGAAATGAATAACTCACCACTCTTGCTCCGGTCTATGTTCCTAAGCTGGTAAGGGGAACGTATACAGCTGAACCGAAGCCGTGTTTACTGGCTTTTCAGGACCCGCCCTACTCTGTCTCTGATTAGCTAGTAGTCCTTAGGTAGTGTGCATGTGCAACACCCAACAAAGATTTTATATGAGTGAAAAGTGAAATGAGGAGCTGGAGCAATGTGCAGTATGACAAAAAAGATGATGTTTTTTGAAAATGAAACCATGTAAACCTGTTCTGGTACAACCCCTAACTAAAATTATGAACCTGAAAATTAGCATAATATGACCACTTCAAGGTATGGTGCATGTTTCTATTTCTAATGACCACTTACAGGGGAATTTCGTCTGGCAAATGTAATGTATAAGTCACAGGAGAATGTCCCCATGAAAGTGGCATTTTACCGGACCATTCATCCCCCTCTTGCTTTCCATAATAACTCTTTTGTAAAGGGTTAGACGGTTATAAATGTTGCACTCCAAAATCATAGTATTTGTGTATAATTCATTAAATATGAATAGATGCAATACTGAATTCATTTGCAGTGATGGCCATATTAAACAATAGAGAAATTATTGTCCATGGTGTCCCTTTGCAATTAAAAATACTCCAACTGCAATTCCCAAAAAGCCCAGAATCAGGCCCACTCCACAGAAAATATCTGGTCCAAGACTGGGTTGATTCAAGTCAAGCTCTGAGGAGGAAATTGGAAAGCATAAGCATCATTACAGACAGAACAAAACTTGCTTAATAAGATAAAACAATCACCCCAGATCCTGTAACTTACCTATTTCTTCTGGTGGATTTTTCTCTTCCTCTTCAAAGATTGCAGTAAGTGTTAAACAAAGGTCCTTGTTTGTCAGAGCATCTCTAAGTACATTCTGATCCACCAAAACTTGACTTGGATCAGGATCAAGAAATCTGGGGACCGTGTAAACAGTTTCCTCTTTTGGGAAATCCATGTATAAAATCTCCTCACCATCAAACTCAAACTGTACATCAGTTGTGCTAATCACAAAGCAGCCCACAAAATAGACAATTTCATGAGGAACTGAAAAAACAATACATTGTTTACAAAAAGTTACAGCTTCTGTTTTTGCTTTTCTTTCAGGCATTTGTATTCTTGATATACAGAAACTGACAACACTCAAGAATACCATATATTTTTGCATTCCCATAATATTACAATGAATGTTAACAACTAGAAAGTCTAGTAAATTTAAATATTCTTATATAAATATTCTATATATTCTATAAATAAATATTCTTACTTTGTGAGAAGGCACAGAAGCTGTTGAGCATCAGGACCAATATAAATCTAAAACAAATCATTTTGTAGAGAGGAGATATTTCCCACAGCTTCCGTGTTATGTGAATGCAGATCAGCCGTCAAAGCTGCGTTGCACTATGAGGAAATTTAAGACAAAGGGAAATATCAGATTGGCTCGTGATGCTAATAGGGGCGGCTGTAGCGCAGGAGGTAGAGCAGGTTGCATACTAATCAGAAGATCTGCGGTTCAGTCCTCCAGTCTGCATTTTAAAGTATGCTTGAGCTAGATACTGAACTTCAAACTGCTCCTGATGTCGGTCATCGCTGTGTGAATGTTAATTTCTGTATCTGATGAGCAGTGGACACATTAGCCTCTTCATCAGTGTATGAATGTGTGTGAATGGGTAATTGTGATGTGTATGTAAAAGTGCTTTGAGTGGTCAGAAGGCTAGAAAGGTGCTACATAAGTACTGACAATTTAGCTTAGCATGCTAATATTTGCTAATTAGCGCAAAACTAAAACGCAAAAGTACAGCAAAGGCCAATATTAATTTCATTTGATTTACTTGTATTTCCTTTTTTAAAACTGCTGCTGACCTTCTTCTTCTTTTGTGCTTAATGGCGGTTGGCAAACCAACTGCATACCGCCCCCACCTGGGCATGTGTGTGGAACAGTAGATTGCTGCTGACCTGCCTGTCAGGTG